GATGAATGCCTTCATCACCTTTAATGCCATTTTTGCTCATTTCAAAGCCCCAACCAACCAACCAACCCAAGTTATACCCAATCGCTTACGATGGCAACTTCAGTGTTCAGTGTCTCTACTCTGCCTGAAGTCTCCACTTCATTCCATTCTAATCATTGTTATGCTCTTTTGGGCTACTATTGATGACAACCATCGCAACGCCACACTCCAGCTGGATGTGCCTTTTCAGAAACGCAAAGTACTCCGATTCGGTGGTGATTAACATTCACATTAGATATGTCAGACATTAGATATTTACCAGCGGCCAGCGGGTACCTCTCAATAAGAACCTTCCAATGGATAACCACAAATGGATAGTCGAATGGGTACCTAGCATTGGATATCGGAATGTGTACACCTAGCAGTTAGTACCTTCCATTAGGTATCGTTCGGTAAATACTTATCAATAGATACCGGAGTATGTACCTTGCACTGGACACCTTTAATATACCTTTCAATGGATACCGAAGAGGGTGACTCACAGTGGATACTTTCCAGTAGATAGCTACTACCCGAGAAGGTACCTTGCAGTGACAGTAACAAATTGTGGACCAATCTTAAAGCAACTACAATTAACTGAATATTAAGTGTAATTATTTATAAAATTCAAAAACTTCCTTATGAGTATCTTTAATCCTAAAATGTTGCATATTCCATATAAAAACTGACGAATACAGAAGAAAGACTGGGTCACATATACAATACAAATAAGGAAGAGCATCAGAAACCGAATAGATATTGATGCAGTCCATCGATATAGTGGTCCAGATACAGACAGAATGTCACACTGCATTTTAATCAATTTCCAGCTAGACAGAAAGCTTTTCGTGCTTTTAGAAATCATTACTAGATAAAAAAAAAAGAAAATAAGCTTGCTAAACACATGGAAGGCCTGCCTCAAATCGACAATCCCAAAAATATGCTGTTTTTCTTTTATATTTTTTAGAAGTACACTATATATCAGAGACGACGCATGCTTACACACACACACACACACACACACACATAGTGTAAATTGATTTTTGTTTAGTTGAAAGCATTTCTTTGATTTGTATCCACTTCACTTCTACAGCTATGCAATTTTATTGGCGCCCTTACGCGTTGCGTAATTGGGAAGTTGTCGAGTTAATCGCGTGCCAGTCAACAGCAGATGTTGAATGCGAAGTGTGCTTAGCGGGGGGTCGGGAGGGGAGGAGGGGGGTTAAGCACTCAATTGATCCTTGCCAGCTGTTCAGCTGTTCAGCTGTGGTTGCGCTGCTGTTCGCTCGCTTTGTTCTGGTTATACTGGTTATCCTTGATTGCTCCGTTTGCCGTTGAGGATTCCCTGGCTTTTCTGTGGTTTCTGTTTGTTCAATTTTCATATTTTCAGTTCGCTCTTCAATGTTTATCTCTGGTCTCTTCACTTCAGCGCCAAAGGCATTTTAATTCGTTTATGGTTCTCCTTTCTGCTTGGGGCTCGACTCATTTGCGCTGTCCTCATTTCATGCTCATGCCTCACGAAACATGCCGCATGCCGCATGCCGCAAGCCGCATGCCACGTCCTTTGCCGCTGTGCTTTGTCGTCCCTATTCATATTTTCATTGCTGATACGCAAATTAAATTGTCCTGGGCATTAGCCTCTCCACAAATCGTTTTTTTAATGCACTTCTCTCGCTCTCTCTCTCTCTCTCTCTCTCTCTCTCTCTCTCTCTCTCTCTCTCTCTCTCTCTCTCTCTCTTTGTCTATATCTGTCTCACTCTCTCGATAAATGTAGTCCAGCTTTGACAGCGACAACAGCCTGCTGCCTGCTGCCTGCTGCGGCTGGTCACGTTGATGACGTGCGTCCACTCGGGGCCCAAATGGAGAGTCCGCTCCAATTTACGACTTAAAGTTGCGTTGCACTCAACCCACTCACCCAGCAACCCACTCACCCAGCAACCCACTCAACCCACTTGCCACTTACCATTCTCGCGCAGCTGTTCAGCTGCCAACTACACTTTGATATGCAGGCTGAAACTGAAATTGCTTTTGGCGTGACCTGACCCACAGACACACACACACACACACACACACAGAGCAGTCTGTCCCCTCCCCTCTCCACCCCATCCAGAGAACAATATTCGCATTGAGCTCGCGTTGCAATCTCGCAATTAGCGACCCATTCTAAACCTTTAAGCCAAAAGTCGCACAAATTGTTGCCCCAAAGCGAATGCACTGAATGCAACACTAAACACCACAGTGTGGCAAAGCTGCACATTGCACAACGAATTCGAATTTTAAGCCTATTCACTCACTCTTACCACTTTCTCTTAATCGTTCTACTACTAATTATTCCTAGCATAAACCCTTTCAAGTACTCTGCAATGATTACGATAGACTCGTATCAATTCAGAGTCCTCCATTTTTATAATTAATCAAACTCAATCCTAAACGTCCTTTTTCGTGTATAACTTTTTCGCATGCACTTAACTAATTGATATTCAATTATTCTTTGGTCTGCTTGGGTTTTGCCCAATTCATGAAACAAATATTGGACTATTTTGCATTTAATTACCCCCAGAAAATCGTATAAATATTTCGGATATTTTAATTTGAATATAATTTTACATTTTATTTTAAATATAATTCAATTCAATTGACTGACTTTAAATAAATAAATTTGGCTGGTGTATAATTAGTTAATTGAATTGAAAGGATTGCACTTTTTTACGCACTCAACAATTGTATCGAGAAAGTCGAGCTCGCTCGACTTGAAGATACCCTGAACAAAGCTGTTAAATAGGTTTTTGTTCAAAACTTGGATGTACCTTATTCGATCTTGATGAAATTTACAATCAGAAAAATAAAATGGCATTGAATTTCAGAGGATTTCTTTTCTTAATTATAGAGTTTTTTTTTTTTCTAAAAATTTGAAAAATACATCACATTTTCAGTGTATTATTTTCGATGCACAAATAATTGTTATATTAACTTGTGTAACTATATTATTATAAGACATTAGTAAAATTAGTAGAAGATTTCACAAAGCAGCATAATTTTGCGACCGTCGATTTATATATTTCAGAAATGCAAATTATTTCTAAAAGCAAGAAAAACTTTATAGTTTTCAGAACGATTTTCATTGCAGAGCAATTTTCTAAAATTCAGCTCGATTTTTTTCCGAGCCTGTCAAGTTGTATTTAATATTTGCAATGGGTAAATAAAATAATAGTTGAAAATGTTGGGTTAATTCGAGTGTTTGCTCCACTGTGCACTTGAGAACTTTTGCAATAAGGAGTGCAATCAATCGTGCCATACTCTTAGCAAATTTGTAGCAACTTGTGTGCCAAATCAACGCACAGACAAGCAGGCAGACAGACAGACAGGCAGACAGGCAGACAGACAGACATACAGATAGAAATAGTGCTGCTCGAACTGTAATTGCACCTGAGTTGATTTGGTAGCAAGTTCTGCGCACAGGACTGCCAACAAACTGTCAGTGTAGCATGAAAATGTAATGAAATCTATCGAGACAAGCGATGCAATAACGTCCAGGTGGCCAGGTGCCCAGGTGCCTCGAGCACGAGTCGAGTATCTCAAGGATACACATGTATCTATATGCTGCTCCACGGAATACACTTTGGGGAATTAGATCTGCTGAGCTGCTGTCGGGCATTTAAAAAAGGACACACATATATATATATATATGTATATAAGTATGTATATATGTATATATATATATGTATATATAAGTATGTATTGGCAGCGACTGCACAAATCGACGTTTCTGAGCAAAAAAATCGTTGGTCTTGCCTCGCGCCCGTCTCCCCAAGGAAATAAGCAAGCAAGCATGCAGTCAAGCAGTCAAACAGTAGTTGCAACTTGGACACATGGTACACAATATGCAACAAATGTAGCCACACAATTTCCTGTGCATTTTTAGTTGATTTCACGCAACACAGCAAGCTGATTGCACTTACAAATCAGTTCACTACACTTTCAATTGCTAATTGTTGTCCTTGGCCTCAGGGCAACTGGCAGAAAAAAACACACACATATATATATATATATATATATATAACATACTGGGGACTCAACAAAAGAGAAGGAAAAGAAAGAAGCTTGTGGCACCTGTTGGCTGTTCAAATAGTTGAAAAATGGCATTCAAGCAAACAGAATATTTATCGTTTAACTTTGTACAAATTGCTTCAGTGGCATTCCATTTAATATATATTATAATTAATAAGTAATATATATTATTTGTCAATATAAATAGCCTATAATAGTCAATATAGCTGGCTTGATAAAACTGTTTTCATATGAACAGATGACAAATGCAGTATTTATATTTCAATGGAAACTGTGAAGTCAGCAGGGCGACAACTATAACATATAGCGCCAATTGGAACAATCAGTCAGTTTTTTAAATGTGCTTTCAAATTTAGATGTCGGTAATTTGACTATTTACCAACTGCATCACTACGAAAAAATTAGTCAAGTCTGTCTGACGTCTGTTGGCAAAATAAAGTGAAATATTTACGAGTTATGTTAGACTTATTCTAAGACCAGTAATTACTATGAGTATCAGAATTTCATAACCCTCGAGAAAAAACTATATCGCTTTCGATATATATTTCAAGCTCATTGTTGCTACTTGAAGTCACCCAAAATAAGTTACTGAAATTGATTTGAAGTCTAGCTTGGAATCATTGCAACATTGACCTGCCTAGAGGAACAAGTAATGAAATGATGGGGGACAAGCCCAGATAACAGATGAAATTCTTGCTTTAAGTAGTAGTTAAATTTGAAAATAAATAATCAGTAATAATTAAGTAATTAAGTTGAAAAGGACTCTCAACTAGCTAGTAATAAAATAAGCATTAGAAATAAAAATTACACATTTACATATATATTTATATATTTATATACATATATATATATTCATGATTGATGTGCTGATTAACTGAATCGTGTTTTATTCTGCTCTTGGATGTGTTTTGTAGGCCACGTCGGCGTTCCGGCTCAAGCATTGTGGTCATTGATGGCGATGATCTGAAGCCATGTCTGCCGGATGATTACATAAGCGGCCAGCATCATCATTTGCATCATCAGCAGCAGCAGCAGCAGCAACATCCGCATCAGCAACAGCAGCAGCAGCAGCAGCAGCATTATCGCACGCACTCAAGTGATATTAGGGAGATTGATCAGGAAATGCTGACCATGCTGTCGGTCAATCAAGATAACGGTAGGCTTAACCACCTTGCACTTAACGGCTTAATGGCTAACGGTTACCCGGGGGCAATTTCCATTCTTATGGTCCACACAGGTCCACATCGCGAGATGGCCGTCGACTGTCCCGATACGTTTATAGCACGCAACAAGACGCCACCCAGATATCCGCCACCCCGTCCACCGCAGGTAAGCAACCACTTATTCCCCCCTCACCACCACCCCCCAACCCCTATACTACAACTAACAACAACAACAACAAGCACACACACAAACACACTAAAAATGCCTAACAACAACCACTAACAAGCCACTTAATAATAATCGCTAACAATAACAACAGCAACAGCAACAGTCACACAACAACCACGCTTGCTTATTCCAAACCATCCACTCAATCACTCATTTCATGCATTTTCTTTTCACCACCACTGCACCACATTGCTCACACACGCACCACCATCCAACAACAACAACCACAACAACCACAACCACAACCACTAAAACACAGAAACACAACACCAACCATACAGCAATCACCACCACCACCACCAACACCACCAAGAACACAACTAAAACTAACAATGATCATGCTAACAAATTGTTAATTGTTGCATATCATTCTTCACATCAACATGAACAACAACAACAACAACATCATCATCATCATCAACTACAACACTCATCAAAAACAACAACATCAACAACAACAACAACAACAACAATTGCACTCGATGTGGCCACACAAAATTTGTACAATCAAAAACATCAATTCAAATTGGAACAAATCGAAAACTATGAAAACGATCTACAAACGGAAAAACAACAACAGCAACAGCAGCAGCAGCAGCAGCAACAACAGCAGCAGCAGCTGACAGTAGCAACAACAGCAGCGGCAGCAGCAACAGCAGCAGCAGTAGTCAACCCTGCAACAGCAATCAATCCGGCAGCAACATTAACAGGCGCACAACAGCAACAGCAAATGGCCGTCAGCAACAACAAACACAACGGCAACGGCAACGGCAACAATAACATGGCCGATGAGTTGTTGTGCGTGGTTGATGGAATTTATCGCAAGGGCGCCAGCTCGCCATCGTCGAGCGCTTTCGACGAGATGCTCAGCAAAGAGTCGCTCGAATCATTTGAAACCATAGCCTATCGTCACTTGCAACATCAGCAGCAGCAGCAGCAGCAACAGCAACAGCAACAGCAGCAGCAGCAGCTAACGACAAGCAACGGCAGCAGCAGCAGTAGCAGCAGCAACAACAACAATGGCAGCAGTAGCAGCACAGCTGCCACACACAATAACAACAACAACAACAACAACAAATTGAGTGCAAGCAGCAACAGCAACAGCAATTCATTGCTTAGCACACGCAGCAGCAGCAACAGCAGCAGCAACAACAGCAGCAGCAACAATAGCAGCAGCAACATTGCCAGCGCTGCATCCACAACGAGCAGCTCAACGTTGCCAGATGATCTGAGTTTGGCGCCACCGGGCTATGAGCCGAGCAGTCAACTGCTGCCGCTGCCACTGCCATTGCCACTGCCACCGCCACCAGGCAAACATCGGGAGCTGCCCGTCGATGTGCCCGATAGTTTCATTGAGATGGTTAAGACGACGCCACGTTATCCGCCGCCAGCGCATCTCTGTTCGCGTGGTTCGCTGCTCTCGAATGCCAGCTCCTCGAATGCGTCGACTGCACACACGACGCTCTCGTCCATCAACTCGGTTGCTGCTGTTGCCGCCGCCGCCGCTGTGCCTGTTGCAGCTGCCACAAGCATTGCCGATGAGGTATACCAAACAAAAAAACCAAAAATCAAAAGCTATAATTGCATTTCAACTATTTTCGTATCTTGTAAAACTTTGCTTTTCAATTTCCTCCAAGCAACTCTCGCTCTCTTTCTGTCTCTCTCTCTGTCTCTCTCTCTGTCTCTCTCTCTCTCTCTCTCTCTATGTGGCTTTCTCTCTCTTTGAATATTTAATATATAAAAGTGCCATTCTGTGCTCTCTGCTAGCTTAAGTCTTGACCACGTACCTTGTCAATCGCAGCGCTGCAAGCAAGGCAAAATGAAAGGCCCACCCATCTTGCTAATAACCAAATGCCATATGCCACATGCCACATGACACATGCCACAACATGCCGCATGCAATCGCGACCCACTTGCAAGTGACATTCCTCACAGCACACACGATTAGTCTGTTTATGCCCGACCCCCTTTCTACTCTCCATTACACTCTCTCTCTCTCAGTCTCTCTCTCTCGCTCCCTCTCTCTCTCTCTCGCTGTCTATCGCTCAGTCTGACTTCCTCTTGTCGAGTCTTTTGTTGCCACTTTATGACACAAATCAGCAGCAATTTGCATTTCATCTCAACTGTCTGCAACAGCAGCAACAGCTACGTTTTTATCGCTGCAATTTCCGCATGCTGTTTTAGTTTTTCTTTTCTTTTCATTTCTTTTCTTTTTTTTTTTGGTCGTTTTTATCGTGCACCAATTGTAACTGTTTGTAACAGGTAGATCAGTTCCAACAGAAAACTACATTTATATCGTATATTTCGATATATATATAGTTCTATATTATATATATTATTTATTTTAGGATTTGGGACGTTGAAATTGACTACCTCCTAACCCCCCCACAAACAAAAGACTTTCTGCAGGGATTTACACATATAAACAGCATTCCAGCTATTACTTACAAATGCTTGTGTAAATTTATCAAATTAAATTTCAATTTTAATTACAATTTGGGGCACGGGTCCGGTAATAAAGTAAAACTGTATAACTAGCACAGTTTGAGGGTCCGTCACAGTTTCAGAGTCACTGGCTCAAAATCAAAAAGGCTCTTTTTAAATTCGCTCCACAATTTACAGACATATATTTACAGTTATTCTTCCATACAAGGAAAAAATAAAAATAAATTTGATTTATATTTCGATTGAGTTCAGCTATTTGTGCAAATTAATTGGCAAAAAATGTAATTGATGCTAGAAAATGTTGTTTTTAATCTGCTTACAAAATATTTAAGCTATAATTTGTTGTTGATTATCGGAACTTTTAGCGTAGTTTAATCAGTTTAAATAATTTACATTCAATATGCACACATTTTGCACATATTTTTTTTGCTTTTTGTGGGGTGGGGGAAATTGGCGGGGATTACAGTTGTTAATTATATAAGCTTCTCAACTATTTTCATTGTCTGCCACTTGCAATGTTTTATGGCTTTTCAAATTGATTCCTTTCCGGGTAGAAGATGCAGCCCACCCCACACCATCTCATCCCTCTCCACACACGCCCCCAATGCCCCAACGGCCACTTGGCCACGCTGCTGCTGGCATGTGTTCTTAGCGAACGTTGGCCTAATTCCCTGCTGACTGTCGCGCTTGCAGCGTGTTTAGTGTTTTGGCCTCGTTACCAACATAATCCTAAGCTCTACCCTGATTGTATATATATATATATATATATTTATATATGTAGAGAGGAGTGTGTCTGTACGTTAGTGTGTGTGTGTGTTTGTCGACAACAACAATAGAGCAATAAAACAATAGAGAGAGAAAAAACCTTGAGTAATTTGTATCAAAATGGATGTCGATTAATTTTGCACTGGGGTTGCCAAAAAGATAGATTCTTATTTGAGAAAGACACAAATAAAATACGCAAAAAAAAAAAACGAAAAAGAAAAAAAAAAAACAAAATAAAACAAAACAAATATTGACGATGCTTACATTAATCAAAGGGTTATCTGCATTTGCCTTGCACTTTTTATAAACAAGATGAGGAAGAGTAAACCGTAAACCAAGCGAATAAATTAAAGCAACACAATCAAAAAACAAACAAAACAAGAAGCAACAGCAGCCGCAGCAGCAACAGCAGCAACAACAACATCAAAACATGTGCATAACTCACACACACACACACACATACCCAAACATATACGCAGACAAGCACTCACTCACACACACACACACACATATATATATACACGCACATATAACTGTAAAGTGTAAATTGCAATTAATCGTTCTCTCGAACTATTCTCTCCACTTTCTCTCCCACATCTCTTTATCTCTCTCTCTCTCGCTCTTTCTCTCTTTCGCGCGCTGTCTCGTGTTCTTGCGCTCTCGCTCTGTCACACGCAGCTTAATGGGAACTCGAAGCCGTTACCGCCGCCACGTGATCATCTGCGCATTGAGAAGGATGGACGTCTTATTAGCTGCGCCCCCGCACCTCAGTTGCCCGATCGACGAGTGCCCGCCAATGGCAGTCAGCAACACCAGCAACAACAAATGCAGCTGCAACAGCAACTACAACAACAGCAACAAATTGCGCAAATTGTGGAGCCAACACTCGAGCAATTGGACAGCATCAAGAAATATCAGGTGGGTGTTCAACAATTCACTTTCATTCCTCAGCTCAAACTTTGAAATTCGATCTCGAAATTTAACCTTGCGCCTGCTGGTTAGGCTATATAAAATATAAAAACAAATCAGACACTCTCATTACCGGTGACTGTCTAACCGCAATGTGTGACCGTCAAACTGTGATATGCCTTCAAATAGAGTGAATGAAAAGAAATGTAGTTTTTAAAGTGACATGACGTACACATATATATATATATATATATAAATACATATACATGACGTATATTTATATATTTATAATATAAATATTCATTGTCAAAACGAATTCAATTTTGAAAAGCAATGTCTGCTTTTAATTTGCTTATCAAACACAAAACAAAGTCTTTATTCGATGCTAGTTGCTCTAAATAGATTTAAATTTACCTATTATTATTCAGGATTGATATTATTTGTGGCAACACTTGTGCAACAACAAGTTGCACACAGCTGAGAGTGTGATTCGTTGTCCCTTAAATAGTTTGGCATGCAGCGAACACAGCCCAGACTGCAATTCAAAAATTAAATATCTCGTCACAGTTGAGTGTAGCGCGTAATTTTGACATGCATAGCAGCAAGCAGCGAGCAGCAAGTTTATAGAAGGCAAAAGGTGGCCGATAGCAGTTGGCAGTTGGCAGTTGGCAGTTGGCAGGTAGCAGGAGTTCCGCATACCGCATACCTCACCTGACCGCACACATTATATGGCGACCTCTTGCCTATCGGACCAGTCCCCGGCTCGTCATCGGCTCGTCCCCGCCCCCCACGCGAATTGATGCCACCTTTGTTTGCTGTGCGACAATCGACAATGGACGACTCCATTGACGGGCGGCTATGGCAACGTTTCCGGTTGACGTGAGCTTTGTTGCTGTTGCTGTTGCTGTTGTGTTGGTTTCGTTGTTGGTTATTGCTGTTGCTTGTTGCTTGTTGCTAGTTGTTGTTGTTGTTGTTATTCTTTTGACCAGTGCATTTCCAACTGCATATTAAATTTCCAAATTTAAGCAGCGAAAGCCAACGGCACAGAAATCTGAGTGCAATCGGAATAGGAAATATCAAATAGGAAATAGGGAAAAGCCTACATGAAAAGCTACTCAACAACTTGCTCCGTGAGCTGCACTTCTAAATATTATGTGGTTAATGGTAAATGGCGGGAAACAATGAGAATTAAATTGAATTAAATATTCTTTGGCAGGGAGACAACAAATGCAGCAACATGATGGCTGCCGGGGGAGGAATAATTACTGAAAGAAGGAAATTGCTAAATGATTAATTATGCAATCTCCTTAAACGTCGACGTGTGTGTGTGTGTGTGTGTGTGTTTATAAGAACATAATCAAAAGCCATTAAAAACAAAAACGAGAAATGTTTAATTAATTATACAGTTTGGCGCACACAGTTGCAGAGTCACCGAAGCGAGCAGCTCAAACTGAAGAGGAAAAACTATTTTAATTGAACTATATTATTTTTGTTGTTGTTTCTGTGCCATTATCAATATAATGATTGTTCTTAAAACTCAATTAAAGCAATCTATCTGTTTTGTTTTGCCAGTCAATAATAACCAACTAATAACTTATATAGAACTTCAGTTAAATTTCAACTCAAAAACTATTTTAGAGGGTATTTTTAGTTTGAATTCTGAATGAGGCGTATGTTTATATTCTTGACCAGCATCAAGTAACCAAGCCAAAGTGATTATATCTCGAACTCTTTAATAGGCGTTTTGTAGTTTTGTAGGACATGTAATTTATATATATATATCTGCAAACAGATTATATGGCAGATATACCAAAAAAGGCTTACAACTTACAAAATAGAAGCAGTTAGACCTGTGCACCACCTTCAATTTACAGGGTATCTGTGACTCGGGCATCGAATTCAGAGTGAATTCAATTTTGTTTTTGTACTTTGCGACCGGAAATTAATAGCAATAAAACAAAAGTATTTAGCGTCGATTGTTGTTGCGTATTCTATTTATTATTGACCTATTGTTAACAACTGTGAGCCGTTTTCGTTGCTGTTTCTATTGTTGTTGTTGTTGTTGTTGATTTTGTAAAATACATTTCTGCTACGAAGTACGCAAATTAAATAAACCTTTTTTTACGGTTTTTGCTTTTAGTTTGTTTTGAGTCGCTTGGCCACAATGACAGCGACTTGTGTCTGTGTCTCTCTGTGTGTGTGTGTGTGTGTGTGTACGCATACACTCAGAAAAAACGGAAAATAATTCTACGGTTTCTACTTTTTAGAATTTAATTTTTCATTAATTTATTTATAAGAATGTTGCGCATTTTTAGAATTTTTTTTTGGAAAATTTCTTATTTATTGAAATTGTCTCTAAAAACAAGAAAAATTGTCTAGTTTTTAGGCCGATTTTTCTGAGTGTACATAAGCGTCAACAGTCGTCGTATTTTGTTTTACACATTGCGAGTTATTTTTGTTGGTTTTTTGCTGTTGCTGCTGCTGCTTCTGCTGCGACAACAACGACAACTTGGCTCACTTGGCTCACACTTGCACACATTGACTCAAATAACCCACTCGGAGCACACACACACACACTCACTGACACACACATACACACACACTGACACACACACTCACACACATACACTGCGCTCAGTTTACACTTTACTCATTCGCTCGCTGAGCACTTGAAACGGCTAACTGAGTGCTGGCTGGGCTCAGAGGGAGAGATGGCGTGGTGTGCCAGAGGTGTAGAGGTGTAGAAGGGGGTGGGGAGGGGGTGGCGAGGTGAGGTGAGGTGAAGTGAGGCCGTTTTACCGCTCATTTGTTATGATTTTTCAGTTGGCATTTTTAGTTGTTTTTCTACGCGTTCTGCGATCGGCCGCATTTTCAGCTACTGCTCTTCGGAGCAAACGTGCGTGTAAACGACTCTCTGTGTGTGTGTGTGTGTGTGTGTGTGTGGCCGATAAACTGTTACATATATAAATGTATATATATAATATATAATGTATTAAATACATAAAATATATATATATATATATATATACATATACATACATAACACCTTTGTTGGCCATATAATAAATTGGTTTCATTTTTTTTATCGCGTTTGATTTTTTTTTGCTTGTGTGTGTGCAATGTGTGTGATTTATTTAACGTGAACAAATATGTGCCACGCCCCTTGGCCCCTCTGCGCTAGCGTGCATTTGGCTGCAACGAATTGCAGTTTGAGAGTCACTGCGCTGGCAAATTAGGCACGCAGTTGCAGCAGCTCTAAAAAAAGAAAAAACACAAACAAACTTAAATCGTTAAAAAAAAAACACAATTGGCATGTCACTTTTGGATTTATTGGCAATGGGCGTAAGGCCTAAATGCATTTTATGAGCCAACTCGCCAACGCGGCTTTAAAAAACAGCTTAAGCGCAACTGGGAATATTTAAGGAAATCGCAGCAACTACTGCAATTGCAGCAGCAAAAAAAAAAAAAAACAAATTAAAAAAATTAAATAAACTCATTGCAGCAACAGCTGCGGCTTTGTTTTTAAAGAAAATGTTGCGTGAACAATGCGTTTTTTATTGTTTTACTTATTTTTTTAAATTTTTTATTTTTTATTGCCGCTGCTGACTCATGAAGCTCAATTTGCAATTCAAAAATAAAAAGGAAAAAATATAAGTAATTATCAAAGTAAACAGTAAACAGGCTTTTTTTTTGTTTTTTTTTTTTTGTTTTTATTTTGACTTTGGGTTTTTTTTGTTGATCATTTTGTGAGTCAACGAAAAGTGCAGCAACAGCAACAGCAACGGCAACAGCAACGGCGACGTCAGCGACTCATTTGCAACACAACAACAGCAACCCCAGCAACAACAGGAACTTCATCAATTGAATGAAAAAAAAAAAAGAAAAAGAAAACAAAAATATGTAAATAAATAATGAAATGCGTAAAAGTAAAAACTTGCTGTAAATCGCACGAGCGTTGCGAGTGTTTGTTGAATGGAAAGTCCATAAAATAGTTGCTGCTGGAATTGCTCATGTTGTTGTCGATGTTCTTGTTGTTGAGTGTTGCTGGCTGTTGACTGGACCACAGAATGCAGAACTATTGCCAGCTGCAGCAACTTTCGCTTTGTTTTTCTTTCTTTCCTTCCTTTTTTTTTTGGTTGTTGCTGTTGTTCGATTTGTTGCCAGCAATTTCACAAGAGCAACCAAAAAAAAAAGACTGAATTTAAATGCGCATTAAGCTGCATTTGTCAAGTTAAGCAAATGCAAAGCGTTGCCGTTTGCTGTTCATAATATTCAAATTTATACGTTGCAGCTGTCAAATGGGGGCGTGGTCGTATTTGCATAGTTGCCGTCGACAACAGTTGCCGGTTTGGGTAGCAGCCTAAGGGCGTGGCCAGCATTCGAAATAGTGAAACAGTTTTGTTTTGTGTTGTTTTGTTTTGGATTCTATTAATTATGCACAACGATGCAACTGCAACAACAGCAGCAGCAGCAGCAGCGGAGACAACAATGTTGAACAGCAATTGAATCAACAGACACAAAAATAAATGCTATTAGTGTAATAACAATCAAAAAATCTCATAACATGGTCTTAACGACATTGCAAACAAGACTGGACATCGATGTTGCTGGCAACGAGCAGCGTTTGACAACTGACACAACAACAACAGCAGCAGCAGCAGCAGCAGTAGCAGCAGTAGCAGCAGCAACTCCAAAAAAATTGCACGTGCTATGTGACAACAACAACGACAATAACAATCTAATCATGAATAACAGCAGCAGCAATAATAACACCAACAACAACAACAGCAGCAGCAAACAGCAACAACAAATAATGTTTGAGAAGGAAAATGACAAGCTTGGCGTCAATTTCAATAACAACTTTAACAAATATTGTGATATGAACGGCAATGCAACAACAATCGAACAACTGCAGCAGCCGCAACAGCAGCAGCAACATCAAGAATCATCTGCGACAACAACGCCACAGCACAGCACCTCCTCCTATTCCCCCGCCTCCGCATCCGCCCTGCGACGGGGCACACAAATTCAACGTTCCTCGATGCGTTTGCGACAACAACAGGCAAGTGTGGCACAGCCACCGCCCCAACAGCAACAGCAGCAGCATCAACAGCAGCAACAGCAGCAGCAGCAACAATTGAAATCAAATTTCAAAACTGCTGCTGCTGCTGCTACTGCTACTGCTGCTGCTGTTGTTGTTGCCGTTGCTGTTGATTTTCCCTTTAAACGGCAGCAACCTTCAGCTGCTATCGCCAACTGGCTTTATCTACATAAATGCTAACTTAAAACGGCAACCAGTTAACAGCGAAGTAGGCTAACTGGCTGACGACAACTGGCAGCAACAATAATAACAACAACAACAGCAACAACAACAGCAAACGTAACAAATTCTTTAGCTATAGCTAACGAAATCCTTGACAAAGTCACACCGAAGCCACAGATACCCTGACTTTATTCTGACATAAGAATTGATTTACTGAATTTACTGATTTCATCTGAATGTAATTCAACAATAGGAATAAGTTGCTATTTATTGATAACCTCGATTGCAAATCTATATATATATATATATATTCTTTTCTTTAATAATTTTGATCAGCTGATCAGCTGTCAAACGACAAATTCAATAATACAAAAACAAGAGTAAAAGTAAAAGTAAAAAGTTGTATGCACTTTTTTCAATAAATCTTTAAAAATATGAATGCTCTTTTTAGATTTGTCAGAATTTTCCAAAGCAAAGCTTGTCTAATTGAAATATATGTATATATATATTTTTCGCAGACCTTCAGTTTTATTTTTTTATGCATAATCCGAAATCGGATCGATCTCGAATCCACACAGAATTCGTCTGCAGGGTAAGATGCAAGATGCACAACTAAAAACAACTTAAAAAAGTACAGGGTATCTACCAGTTGAAAGAGTTCACTCTGACTAGTTTTTAAATTCAATCAAATTTTAATTCATTTATATTTGAAACTTTTATTTGACTTTTGTTTGTATTTCGAAACCAATTTTTCAAAGAATTCAAAATAAACTGGCTGCAATTGGACACTCTTCAAGTGTTGTATTTAATAGATAAATATGTTGCATATACACACACACACATATATATATATATATATATATACATTTATACATATGTTGATTAATATGCTTCGTTTCGTGACGTTTCATGTTTCGTGTGTGGCAAAGGCGACATCATAGTTGTAAAACCCAATTGACTGTTGACGTTGAGCGCCCAACCACAATACCAATACCAATACCAATAATGATAAAAACAACAATCAAGAATAAGCAAGTTCATAAATTTTTTAACTTTATTTTTTTTTTTTGCGCTGTTTTTTTTTTTTTTTTTTGCCTGTACGCGCTTTTGCAATATTTATTTAATGCCCGTCAACCCGACGAGCATGTTGACGCTGGCGATGATGTCATGGCATGTTTGTGTATCTACACCTTTATGTATATATATATATATATATAGATACAACAACAACAACAAGCAGAAAGAACACGGCAACTAACGTTCATTTGCCGTTGCTGTTTTACAATTGCTGTTGGCTCAATGGCTTTTTGAGTTGTTGGTGTTGTTGCTGTTGTTGGCCCCACTCGATGATTGATGGCCTGCAATTTTTGTGGGCCTTACAACTGATCTGCGGGGGCATCAAAAGGGCGCTCAAGTTAGCTTAAATCCACTGCAAGCGTCAATAAATTTCGATTTCAATCGAATCAGAGTCACGATTCTGGTCAACAACAGCAACAACAGCAGCAGCAACAGCAGCAGCAGCAGCAGCACCTTCTCTCTATAGAATCTCAATTGGTTTGTGGTATATGCATAGTACTTTCAAGCATGCCACAAGTATGCTTGAGTTTTAACTTGGCAATAACTATTATTGTTTTCTTCGTCTTCCATTCTTCCTCCTCCTCTTCGACTTCTACTTCGACTTCTACTTCTTCATCTTCTTCTTTTTCTGCTTCTTCGTCGCAGCCACTCGAGTTGTTGCTGCTTGTTCAATGTCAAATCGCATCGCTATTTGTATTTTGTTTTTGGTTTTTTTATTGTTGTTTTCTTTCAAGTTTTATTTGGTTCACATCGTTTTTTATTCGCGCCAGCCGACTTAACTCCCTCCCTCCCCCCTCCTCCGGGGGCCTGTGCATGCTATCTAAGCCCCGCTCCTCCCCTACCCTACATCCCCTGCATTCCTCACATGCTGTCTATAAATTTTTGCTGATGTTGTTGCGTTTTCCTTGTTTTTTATTTACTTTTTTGTTTTCTTTTTTTTTTTTTTTTTTTTTTTTTTTCGTTTTTTTGCGCTCACATTATGCAAGTTCAGCAAATTTTTGTTCTTTTTGTTTTGCTTCTTTTTCTTTTTTGCATCGCTTTTATCTCTTTTTGTATTTTCAGCGCCTTTCTGTTGTTATTCAATTATGTTTTTTTTCCTTCTTTTTTTCCTTTTTCTTTTCGTTTCGTTTCGTTTCGTTTCGCTTCTTTTTGGTGTGTTGCGTTGTGTTGCCAAACATCCCCAGGAAAATAGATGTGGGTGAAAGGCGGTGGTAAGGTCTCTCAGCTGTGTGTTGTTGTAGTTGTTGTTGTTGTTCTTGTTGTTGTTGTCGGTAGGTTCGGAACCCGCCTTTGTTTTGTTATCATGGTCAAGAAGGTGGTTTACGGCGCGGAACAGAAAACGCCAATTTTGACACGCGGCAACTGCTCGCAATTATTATCTTAATCAAATGCGTTGGGGCTCTTGGCTCTTCTCAATTAAAGCACGATTGCTTTGAAGTGCGGAACATCTAAATAACATTCAGTTAGCACAAATGCCACGTGTAGTTACATGTTGCATGCACATCTTTGTGCTCGAGTGTCTCTTGACCAACACGGTAAACTGCTATTTAACCGCGCTTCAACCGACCGACCTGCCAAGGCCTCAATAATAAACCAAGACGAGAAGACGAAGACGAAGACGAAGACGAAGACGAAGAAGTCGACGCTTTATCGCTCTCATACACTTTAGCTTGGCATTTCTTTTTCATTTTTATTAGCCACTTTATGAGCTGTTTGTGAACCCGACTTGAAACCGTTTTAACTTTATATATACACACATACACACACACACATATATATATTGATATTTAGATGTAAACTTTCTTTAGATGTAAACCTGCTTTAAACCTTATGGCAAAAAACATTTCCAATACAAATATGAGCCGGAAGCGTTTTGAATGTTTCAACCAGACAAGACCAGAAGAGATATATAATTTCGATTTTTGGGATTATGCCATCTCCCCCATTAGCGATGCAATTTTCCTATTGGCACTCAACTGTTGCGACAGTTTGACAAGCACTGCGTATGTGTATGACTTGTTGCCAGCTTTGCCAGCTTTGCCAGCTTTGCCAGCTTTGCCAGCCTGCTGCCCACCCACTGACCTAATCCAAACAAAAGCCGAGCACTTGTGTGGCTTCCACTTGCAACACAGCAACTGTCCCAACGATGCCCACCCCAAGCACTTGGACACCCCTTTGCCCCCCCCCCCTTCCACCCCTTTGCACTCTTTCAGCCTGCTTCACGTTCATTAGCCCATCATATTGTTGTTTGACCTGCTTCACGGATTTGTTGCATGCCACAGAGCGGTTACAAAGATCTGGTTGCACACAAGTTTACTGACACCGACAGGGACTCGATTTTCCCATAGTATACATAATGGGCAGGCCGAGTCAAAACACTTGGAATATTATAAGACATATTGAATAGATCTAAAATTATTTTGGTTGCCAAATTGACTCATTTCCGAAAAAATGTTCAAGTCGGAGCATTTTTCTTTTGGGTTTGACTTTGAGATTGAATACTAATAAAAATAATAATGAATTTAATTAAAATACTAATTAATATCAGTTTGTTGTCAGTGTAGGATATGCATTTAGTCGGTGCACATTTGCTGTCTCCTGAACACATTTGCTGCCCTGCTCATTTCGCTCTTTATCGGCCACCGCCAGTCGCTGCGGTAAAAAAGACGCTAATTAAATTAGCACAAAAGGCCGCCAATGCGGATTAAGTGCGCCCAGATGAAGCCTCAAATACCAAGCGACCAGCACAAAGCCAATTTTCCCACCACCTCTCTCCCCCTCTCTCTCTCTCTCTCTCTCTCTCTCTCTGTCTCTCTCTGTCTCTCCCACTCAGTGTATTCAACAGTCGCGCTTTGTATTTTAATCGGTTTCTTTTTATCTTTGCAGGAGCAACTGCGACGCCGTCGAGAGGAAGAGGAGCGCATCGCCCAGCAGAATGAATTCCTGCGAAATAGTTTGCGTGGCTCGCGCAAACTCAAGGCGCTTCAGGACTCGGCAACGGCCACGCCCTCGCCGGGTAAGGCACAGCAGCAGCAACCGACAACAGCAGCAGCAGCAGCGCCAACAACAATTGCTGGCGTTGAGAACGAGGCCTATCTGCCGGACGAGGAACTGCTGACGCCAGCGGAACACATCGACGGTGAGTCACTGTACACTGTCCACTTGTCCACTTGTACACTGTACAGCATACATTTTGAACCCTTGTCAATCTGCTAATTCAGAGAAAAAGAAGCAAGCGAGCTAGCCAATAATATGGGATAGCTCAGTTAAGCCCTTGTTGTAATTAATCAAATCTTACCTTTTGCCAACAAAAACAAGAGAAAACGTTGGCCGATACTTTGGTATCAATAAGTAATACCAGCTGATAACAGGTAGCAAATAACAAGATGGGAGTAGCCAAGAAATATCTATCTTTGAAGGAGATTTTTTTAGTAATCTACCGTCCAAGTTGGCCTTTAAAATTGCGCTACATATGGGCTTTTGTGAATTGTCGGAAGAGTTTCCTAATAACCTTACTTCCAAGTTTGGAAGGGGCGTGGTTGTCAGTAATGTACCTACAAAATTGTGGGTGTGGGCGTGGCATCAACCAACCAAATTTGGTGACTCTAATCCTAAATTGTGGGAGATATGTGGCTTTATCGATATGCAACTATCGATGTTATCGATTACCTAGACCCATATATATAAACTAATACAAATACCATAAGATCTTCGGTATCAAAATCAATAGATAAAGATAAAGTTTTCTTAATTTAAATATTATACTTAAATAACTTTTAAGTTATCGTCTTCACATCTATTTGACTGTCCAGTTGTGTATAGGGATTATATATATATATATACAATTTCATATATAGCATTGCTATTATTAGTTAGACATACGATGGATATAGGAATTTTTGGTTGTTATACGGATTTCATATTCATTAGATAGATATAGGATATTTGGTACATATATATAATTTTCATATTTAGCTTAGACATTATTGAATAGATATTGGGATTACATATCTAGGTTAGTCAGTTTAAGATTAAAAATGTTTAAGTATCATTTATGTGTTCATTGTAATTTCCACGAGATTTGAACGGATGTTTCCATTTTTTCGTTCTGAAGAATTCTATGCTTCTACATCAAAAGCAGATACAAAATGTAGCTTTCAAAATAGCCTTCCAAGTATCTGGATTGAGGTCTGAGATCTGTGCAACATGTGGCTTAATATTTGAACTGTGATTGCAGGCTATGGCGAACTGATTGCGGCGCTGACACGGCTCCAGGGCCAACTGGCTAAGAGTGGGCTGAGCACGCTGGCCGGGCGGGTATCTGCGGCGCATAATGTGCTGGCCAGCGCCAGTGTGGCCCACGTACTGGCCGTCCGGAGCGCTGTGCTGCAACGTCGACGTCCTCGCGTGGCCGGGCCACTGCACGTGAGCGCATTGGGGCTGCAGAAGGAGATTGTGGAGATGCTGACGCAGTCGAACACGGCGACGGCCATTGAGCTGGGCAATCTGCTGACCAGCCACGAGATGGAGGGTCTGCTGCTGGCGCACGATCGCATTGCCAATCATACGGATGCATCGCCATCGCCGACGTTGACGCCGACGCTGACGCCGACGCCGACGCCAATGATGACGGCGACAGCGACAGCGACGGCGACGGCAACGCTTAGCGGTCATAGCAGTCCCGTGCCGCAATCCAAAGCATCGGCGAGTGGTCGAAGTATGGCGGTCTTGCCACCAGTTGTCCCATCAGTGCCACAATCTGTGGCACAACGTGGCGCCATGCCCCTGCCCGTTGCAGCTGTGGCAGTGGCGGTGCGCGGCGAATCGCCGCCAGGAATGAGCGGCTGCTTCGGCACATTGAACGATCAGAATGACAACATTCGCATCATCCAGATCGAGAAGTCCACGGAGCCACTTGGCGCAACGGTGCGCAACGAGGGTGAGGCTGTCGTCATTGGCCGGATCGTTCGGGGTGGTGCTGCGGAGAAGTCGGGACTGCTCCACGAGGGTGACGAGATACTGGAGGTGAATGGCCAGGAGCTGCGTGGCAAGACGGTAAACGAGGTGTGCGCCCTGCTCGGCGCCATGCAGGGCACTCTCACATTCCTGATTGTGCCCGCTGGTAGTCCGCAGCCCGGTGGCGGCGTGGGCATGGGCATGGGCAACGTGATGGGCATGCATCCACATCATGCGGGTGTCGGGGGGATGGCGCATCGGGATACGGCTGTGCTGCATGTGCGTGCACATTTCGATTATGATCCGGAGGATGATCTGTATATACCGTGCCGGGAGCTGGGCATCAGTTTCCAGAAGGGCGATGTGCTGCATGTGATCTCGCGCGAGGATCCCAACTGGTGGCAGGCGTATCGCGAGGGCGAGGAGGACCAGACCCTGGCTGGCCTCATTCCTAGTCAGTCATTTCAGCATCAGCGCGAAACAATGAAGCTGGCCATTGCCGAGGAGGCGGGTCTGGCACGGTCGCGTGGCAAGGAGGGTGCCGCCAGCAAGGGTGCAACGCTCCTCTGCGCACGCAAGGGCCGCAAAAAGAAGAAGAAGGCCAGCTCCGAGGCGGGGTAAGTGGTGCAGCCAAACAAAAACGAATCTCGATTTGGACTTACCTGTTATTGTTTATGTAGGTATCCGCTGTATGCGACAACCGCACCGGACGAAACGGATCCCGAGGAGATACTCACCTACGAGGAGGTGGCGCTCTACTATCCCCGTGCCACCCACAAGCGACCCATCGTCCTCATCGGTCCACCCAACATTGGCAGGCATGAGCTGCGACAGCGCTTGATGGCCGATTCGGAGCGCTTCTCGGCGGCGGTGCCACGTAAGTACAACACTCTCTCTCTCTCTCTCGCTCTCTCTCTTTCTCTCTTTTCTTTATCACTCTCTCTCTCTCTCTCTCTCTGTCTCTCTCTCTGTTGATCGCTCGCAGTTTTCCTTTTGCTTGAGGAGAAGCCCAAGCCAGCAGGCAAGGATAAAGCAATTGCCAATGTTTCCCAAGCGCATTGCTAGCACAGTTTACCCCAATCCCAATTATTGAGCAGTGTGCAGGGCTCCTTCGCTTAGAATTGCTAGCGTAGCGTTTGAAAGCTCAAAAGCTTTCATTGTGTAAATCTGAAAGCTCGAGCAAAAGCTTTACACGTACGCTTGGCTTGGCTTGGCTTGGCTTTGCTTGACTTGGCTTTGCTTGGCTTGACTTGGCTTGGCTTGGCTTGGCTTGACTTGGCTTGGCCGGTACAGCTCTATAGAGAAACCCAAGCACAAATTCTTAGTTCTATGACTACAGCTTGAAAAATCTCGTTTGATACACACATAATATCCAAAAAGATGTCTTTTGCATCTGGCAACAGTCAACAATCGGTTAAAGAATAGATAATTCTGATAGTTTCTAACGCTGACGTTTCAAAATTAATCTCATCTAATCTTTTTCAAAAAACAATTCTAATTTCTTAAAAGTCCTCAATAGTTGGTTGATTTTGTATTTTGTTTAGCTATAAATAGAAATGAAGTCAAGTCTGCTGCGCCAACTTCAGATATGTTCGTAGATGGAAATTAAAGAGTTATTTTGGTTCCTTGCAATCCTTTCACATCAAGAGATCATTGCTGGGGCATTTTTCGTCCTCGTCGTCGTCTTCTTCCTTCTTCCCATGCCCCCAAATACCCACGTTATTATTACTAAGCTAATTACAATATATTTGTGCCTCTTTCACTTATGCAGACACTTCCCGGGCCCGGCGCGAGGGCGAAGTGCCCGGCGTGGATTATCATTTTATAACGCGTCAGGCGTTCGAGGCGGATATTCTGGCGCGTCGCTTTGTCGAGCATGGCGAGTATGAGAAGGCCTACTACGGTGAGTGGCAGTTGAATTGGATGTGCAACACCAACTTGAACAAATTGAAACTGTACTCAATCTCAATCTCAATCTCAATTTCAATCTCAATCTGCATTTTGGCAGGCACATCCCTGGAGGCCATACGCACAGTCGTTGCCAGCGGCAAGATTTGTGTGCTGAATTTGCATCCGCAGAGTTTGAAGTTGTTGCGCGCCTCGGACCTCAAGCCCTATGTGGTGCTGGTGGCGCCACCAAGCCTGGATAAGTTGCGGCAGAAAAAGTTGCGCAATGGCGAACCCTTTAAGGTGTGTTATCGATAACCACTTATCGTTATCGTAATCGTTGAAATCAATTATACATATTTATGTGTCCAAGTTCTTGTTTAGCTGAGATTATAAGTACAAGTTATCGTTATCGCCCGATAACAGCATGCCTATCGAGCATTGCAATTATTAATTATTGATATATTTTTTTGAACGAATAAAAATATCAATAATTAATAATTGCACTTCTTTGCTTTGCTTTTTATTCTGTTTCTTGTTGTCTTACATTACTAAGCTTTTATCGATAACAACATGTATGTTATCGCTTTCGTTCTCATTGGATTAATCGTCGCTTTCTCGTTTCTTTCTGGACAGGAGGAGGAGCTAAAGGACATCATCGCCACTGCACGCGACATGGAGGCGCGCTGGGGTCATCTCTTTGACATGATCATCATCAACAATGATACGGAGCGCGCCTATCACCAGCTGCTGGCCGAGATCAATTCGCTGGAGCGCGAGCCGCAATGGGTGCCCGCCCAGTGGGTGCACAACAATCGTGACGAGTCATAGTGACGTCCATACCGGCGACTGTTTCAACTTCTGCCCCGTCCCTGCAACCAGATCTGCACCCCGGCCTGCCCCTGCCCCTCGTCCGGACACGGCAACCAACCCTGTCCCTGCCCCGCGTGCAGGCAGCCAATGCCCGGTTAGCCACTTTGTAAATAATACAATACAACAATACAATACCAACAACTACCGCGTTTCAACTCAGCCATGTGAAAATGGAGCAACTGCAACTACAACTACAGCTGCAACTGCAACTGCAACTGCAACTACAGCTGCAAAGGCAACTGCAACTGCAACTGCTGCCCAGCCAACCATCATAAGTGTGAACAACTATCTATTGTGGGGCATCCTTTCGCTAAGTGTACACACGTGCATACACTCAGTACTGTGTGTGTGTGTGTGTGTGTACTATTCACATACTTATTTACTTGTACTTAATCGTTTACCGTTAACCATATACTCGTATTATTTATACTAAATTTATGTATGTATGTAAATTGTTTGTTTGTTGCAAATGCATTTGAAACATGGACGAACACGTGTGTTGCTACTGTTTTCAAGCATTGCACTATTTTTTTTTTTAAACATATGCATAATATATATATATGTATAAATATATATATATATATATATATATAAACATTTTTTTTTTATTACTTATTAGCAATATTTTTACTGAAGTACGTTCACAAATAATTGTTATTCAATTTTAAAACAGAATCTTTTATTTTTTTGTATTAAGATATCATTTTGAGCACTTCCTTAATTTTGAAAGACAAATTTTAAATTGTAAAAACAACCACAACAACAACAACAACAACAGCAAAAACAACAACAACAACAGGAATTGCATTTGTTGTAATACAGGCACAAGTGCAAACAGTGTGGCCAGTCTATACTCTAAAAACGAAATTGATAACGAAACTGAAGTCGAGATCGAAGTCGAGATCGAAGTCGACATCAGACTGCAAATTGAAATAACCATATGTTAACTGAACAAAAACAATCTGCAATCAAAAGCGAAATGTTGCCGAGTCCATAAGCAACGAGTAACTAGCAACGGGAACAGAATCGAGAAGCGAATAGCGAATAGCGAAAGCAGAAGATAGATAGATAGAGAGAAGAGAGAGAGAGGGGAGCGAATGTTGCAATTACGTAATCTATTTACTTTATATAAATATATTCACAAACTATACATATAAATATACACATAAATTATATGCAGTAATACAATTAATTTTTAAAATAACAAGAAGCGACGAGCAAAACAGTAGAGCGAGTAAACTAAAGGATGAATAGCAACAATAGAATCAGAACGTCATTGCCAAATAAAACAAAGATGTAACAAATATGAAATATGAAATATGAAATACAAAATACAAAATATGAAATATGAAATACGAAATACAAAATATGAAATACGAAATGCGAGTATATGAAGTGAATGAATATGACTACAGAAACCCAATTCAAAATGAAATAACAAGCAAACAACATTCCGCCAGCAAGCAAAAGATATAGCATGCAATAGTGTAGCCAAGTTAAATATGCACTGTAAAAAAAAAACAAGCCAATATATACAAAATAACAAACAATTGAAAAATCTAGACGTTAGTTTAAGAGCATAATACCACAAAGAGGAAAGAAACAAAGAATAGAAGAAGAAGAGAGAAAAGCAGTCAAAACCCCAGACAGCGAGTAGTTGTTTCCAAAAAAAAATAAATGTTGTAATTCATCAATTTAAATGCGATTAGAAAATTACGAGAAAAGGCCTCAAAAACTCCCAAAAACAAAAAACAAAAAGAAGAAAGAAATGAAAAACTCACGCAGGAAAACAAAACTGTAAACGTAAATATATACACATATATATTTGTTGAAAATGCAACAATTTTATTAAGTAAATGCTCCAAACGGCGTCAAGTAAATTTTGCAAAACTATGTTACACAATGTTTAAAACTTGAAAGATTATTAAACAAGACAAAACTATACAAAAAGAAAACAAAACAAACAAAAAAAAAAAAAACAAAAGCAAAACAAAAGCAAAGAAAAACGAAAATATATTTAAAATATTTTTTTTTTTTTGTAGTCAACAAGGTATAAAAATGTGTGTGCAGTAAATTTGTTTAAGTTTTTATTTATACGTATTAAAAACAAAAATCAAATAAATATGAAAATTTATTAATAAAACTACAAGTTTAGTATATTATATGTATATGTGTGGTGTAATAAATTGAATAACAAAACTTAGCTAAACGAATAATGCCAGCAAAAAGCGAAGAAACTAAAAAAATAAAACTAACTCTATACAAAATAGGCACGGTTTAACAAGCATTGTATGATATGAGAAATACCTAAATAAAATGCGACAAACAAATACAGAAACACATCAGAACTCTTCAAATCATTTAAATTTCAGATCAATTAGCGCGATTCAAACCAGCCACAACAGCGCTGCCAGACTCAGTTTTAGACGAACAGGTGGCAGTGTAACTTAACAGAATTACTCCCCACTTAACAGAGCCATAGAGCCACAGAGCTGAATGGCCAGTGTGACCATTGTTAATTGAATATATACCACACAATGCGAGCCAGTATATGCAAGAATTGCACAAATTAAGCCAGTGTGTTTCTCTCGCATTCGTTGACGAAAAAGCAAACTGTGCGGACGCGTTTATACCGGCTATTGCGGTACCGCTAACTGCCGCTATTGTGTTGTGTTCTGTACTGGTTCCGTTTTTTTTTCCCCCCACCGACTCTATTTCTTGTTTGTGTTAGTGTTTGTGGTGGTTGTCAATTGCATTAATTCTATATATGTATATATATATATATATATATGGCAAAATAATAATCTTATCGCCAGCATGAGCCGAAGCACAAGTTATTACTGAGTGCGGCCTTAACATTGAATTACCAAGAACAGCAACAAATCACTGAGCCAACAAGCTGCTCGCAAACAGACCGACTGAGACTGAGAGATAGAAAGACAACGAGAGAGCAGGAATAAGAAGAAGAATATGCCAGTGAAGTCGGTGTCGCGGCAACAGAGCCAAACGCCCGCTCAGCAGCTGCAGCAGCAGCAGCAGCGTGACGTAGAAAATGGCATCTATCCAAATATACCCGCAGAGCGGCGATCGCCGGTGCGTCCATTAAGGCCGCCAACTCTGCGCCAAGACACCGTTGACATGGAGGAGATACCGCTGAACCAAGTCAATGTCCAGCAGGAGTCAGAGGATCGTCAGAGAATGCGTGAAGTATTCGACAAGGTAAACCAAAAGCAAAACAAACACTTGCCCATAAATACATATAGATGCATACGTAAGTATGTATGCGTGTGTGTGTATAAACTGCTTTGCATGTTGCGTGTCTGCGCCTCTCCGGGTGTGTGTGTGTGTTTGCATGAATGAATTAATTTCCTTGTTATATGTGTGAAGCGAAGACCTGCTCTTAACCCTTGTGCTCGCGGGTAAAAGGTCTTCGTCATGTTATGAATCATCTATATAAATATGTAGCCACGTATGGTCACCCTTAGCCGCACCCTTGCCGCTAATTGGCACACGCTATTTTTATGCACGCTGCGACTGCGCGCTATTTGCCGTTTGCGAAGAAGGGCGAAGAAAATGCGCTATCAACGTCAACTCCAACTTCCTGTCTCTCTCGCTCTCTCTGCCTGTCTGCATGTGTGCATTTGCACAACAATCAGTTAATTTCACACTTTTGCATAATTCACCGTTAACATTTTGATGTTTGCTTTTCTCAGTTTGTTTTTGCTGCAGCCAAAACAACAACAACAACAACAAAGGCAATTTGACAGAGGGGAATACCAGACTGTTATCGCTTACGAAAATTGTGCAGAGCAAAAACCGGTTACTCAAACAGACATAAATATCTACGTGGATACATACATATATATGTATGTATGTACATGGGAATGTGTGTAAATGTATATATGTGTTGCTGTTGTTCTTGGCTGTCAGTCAGTTGATTTGTGTCTTAGTCACTTGCACGAAATTGTTTTGCCATTTTTTTTTTTACTTAGCGCTTAGCATTTAGCATTGTTTGCCCACTAATTATCAAGTGCCGCTCTCTCTCTCTCTCTCTCTACTCATTCGCATTCTCATTCTTACTCCACGCCCCAAGTGCTGCTGGTTGTTGTCTTTTCTCTTTTGTTGTTTCCATTGAAGAACATTCCATCGCATTATCCCATTCTCACCTGTGTCTCACGCTCGCGCTCTCTCTCTCTCTCTCCTGGCCCTTGACGACTGAATCGTTGATATACAAATTGCATTTAATTTGTTTTAACCTGTTTGATAATGCTTCTTCTTCATCTGCTGCTGATACTTTTACTTTGGCATAACAGGAATACACAAATGTTAATTTGTACATTTCAACATGCATACATATGTACATACATACACACGTATGTTTGCATATGTATGACTGCATAAATGAATATTTATTTCTTACTCGTCTCGATTCTGATTCTGATTCTGGCTTTCACCTGAGTGCTTGTTTCGCTTAGTTCTCTCTTGTGAATTCATTCAATATCTCAATATTGCCGCGTAATCTTATCTCTTTTGGCTTACTCAACCAAAGGCATTTCAACTAGTTGGCATTGTTGACCCTAAACGCCAAACTTTTCATGGTCTTTTACCGATACACTTACATATCTACTGTATTTGGTATGTGTGTATGTGTGTGTGTGTGTGTGTGTGCATAGCTGGCTAAACTGCAATTTGTGTGACTCAGTTCTCAGCCTTATCCACTCGCCCTCCCCTTCCCCCTTCCCTTCTCTTACATTACTCCGTTTCTAATCAGAATTGCTTTGTTCTCGAATCAACTGTGTGTGTGTGTGTGGATGCAGGTGTATATATCAACAAACAATACACACACATACACATACATATATACATATGCATTTCTGTTTTAGTCACTGTTACTTTAGTTTTGCAAGATCTGGTCGAAATTGTCGATAACTGCAAATGTTTATACAAATGTGTATTCCTTTCGTTGGGTGTATTGTGGGTGATGAGAGCCGCTCTAATTACTATTATTGCAATTTGTAATCCATTTGGTATTTGTGTTCTTTGTGAAATCTCAGATCTCTTCTTCAAAAACACCCTCTTTAAGAGGGGGCCTACAAATGCTTAATGCTGGTTTTTAAAAATTTAGACTATTTAATCGGATTTTAGCGATTTCAGTGCCAGGCTTATCAGGTAACCAGAACATGCTGCAAATATAAAATATTTCTTTCTAATTAATAACGATAATCATCATTATGATTATTATTGGATATGTTTACACATAAATATTGGCAAAGCCTTAGATTACTTTGCTCAGATTCACTTATCTTATCGGCTATAGTATTGAATACCGAATACACACACATACATATGTATACACATATATATATATATTTGTACAAATAGGGAAACAGTTTTTGGAAAAACTACTCCATAAATGACTGGGAAAATGTGTGGAAATGTGTGCGCCTAACTGCGAAATCGATTTTTGACGGGTTTGTCACCAGTTGCGATCCGTTTTGGGCCACTTCATTGCTGGCCAGACCTGGCCTGCTTGGCCATTTATGGCCATGACTTGTTTGCCGCATATGGAGTGCGTTGTGTTGTTGCACGGATGCATTGTGGCAATGTGGCAATGTGGCACTTATGCAATAGCCAACTTGTTGCTATGCTTAATTTGGGGTACATTTTATTTGCAAATTTAGAAACAGAAGTCGGAATAAATTTGGCGATATGCCAGTAGACTCGGTTCTGGCTGTGGTTCTTTGGCATTGCATCTTTTGAGCAGCTGATCCTTTTGCAAACGACAAGCAAAAGGATGTAAATTACACGTCTCGGGCATCCGTGAAGTGTTCCTCATGCATGCTCATCTCCTGCCACTCTGCCTCCTCCGCTTGCGTCGGCGATAAGGCGTCCCGCCACTTGTCCAACAGCAGCTTCCTTCGCTCCAGCTGGTTGCTCCCTGGGCCCCTTGTCGCTTGGCTGGGTATCAGATTGACGCCAATGAATTGTCCCACAGGGAGCTTGTTAATTGAGATGACGGTGCCAATGTCCGAGATCTCTGGCAGCCCAATGTCGTTGGCATCGCACAGGCCGCTCCTAACCGGGCCCTGATCATGCTCCTGCCGATGGCCCATCATCCAGCCCATTAGATTCACGACCATCTGCCACATATGCGCCATCCTGTGGATTCGGCGAGCTTGAGAGCTGCGTTTCTCAAATCACACTTTACTCACCTGTAATCGTTAATCGGTAATCGATTGTTTGTCGTTCGGCCAGCGAGGAGACAGCAATGCGATTTATAGTATTGCGGTTTATTCCGATCCCAATTGTGTTCCCTACGATTACATCACAAAACATTAAACGTGTGAAACGTGAAATGTGAAATGCGAAACTGACATTCCCCAAATCCCATTTGAATTACCCTGTCGACGCCTGCTAGAACACTTGACCTGTTTTTTTTTTACTATTTAATTATTTTGAATATAAGTACAAAAACAACAACGCAGTGGAAGAGGAGGATACACATCATCATCATCTTAAGCCATGTTCATCTGTGGTTTCACCTCTCGTTTAATATTAAATGTAATTCTGCTTAATATGAATCCAAATTCATTTCAAGACACAACAACTCTTGGGTCAGGTGAAAGGCTTTCGCCCGTTAGACTTGATAGGTTGCCAAGATCTTCAAAAGAATGGGCTCCCAATGAAATGGATGTTGAATGAATTCTATTTAGCCAGGTTGCGTCAATGGTTCAAACTGTGAAACTACTTTTATAATTATAGACATGACAGCTGGATATATAAATGAATATATCGATATATATATATATAAAGATATATATATATATATGTATATACGGTGTGTGATCAACGAATACCAATACTAATTGCTTATTTGCTTCTGGTGTGCAGCACGACTCGGACAGAGATGGGCTGATCAACACGCACGAGCTGAAGGGTCTGATTTCGGATGGATATTGCCGCGACATACCTGCCTACATTGCAGAGCAGATACTGCGCCGCAGTGATACGGACAACGATGGACATCTGGACTTTGAGGAGTTCTATGTGATGTCGCAGCACCACAAGTGGATGATGCGCAATCTGTTGACCCGCTATTGCCGGTATATAGTGCCGCCGCCAAAGCCGCTCGAGGGCGACGAGCCGGATGGTGCGTACGAGAAACAAATGTCACTCTGCCCGCCACCGCTGACCATGGTCATCTTCTCCATAATTGAGATCATCATGTTTCTCGTCGATGTGATTTACTTTCAGTAAGCCAGACACCTCTCTATATAAGTGTGTGTGTATGTTATTAATTGTTTATTTGATCCGTTTTTAGGGACGATCCGAACCACAATCAGCGCTTGGGCGAGAGCACCAACGGACCAGCGGCGACGCTCTTCATTTACAATCCGTACAAGCGGTACGAGGCGTGGCGCTTCGTTAGCTACATGTTTGTCCACGTGGGCATCACGCATCTCTTGATGAATCTGATCATACAAATCTTTCTCGGCATTGCCCTCGAGCTGGTGCATCACTGGTGGCGTGTGGCGCTCGTCTATTTGGCTGGCGTACTCGCTGGCTCCATGGGCACCTCGCTGACCAGTCCGCGCATCTTTCTGGCCGGCGCGTCCGGCGGTGTCTATGCCCTAATCACGGCTCACATTGCCACAATCATTATGGTAAGCTACATACAAATCCATGCATACATGTTTATAAGAGCACTTGTCATATTGCATTGCAGAACTACTCGGAAATGGAGTACGCGATTGTGCAGCTGCTTTTCTTCCTCGTGTTCTGCTTCACCGATCTGGGCACATCCGTGTATCGCCATCTAACTGATCAGCACGATCAGATTGGGTATGTGGCGCACTTGTCGGGTGCCGTCGCTGGACTCCTGGTTGGCATTGGTGTGCTGCGCAATTTGGAGGTGCGTAGCTGGGAGCGCGTTCTCTGGTGGATCGCTGTCATCTTCTACTTTGCACTCATGACCACTGGCATCATTGTGCACATCTTTGTGCCCGACTACTTTCCCAAGCCCGAATACAACTGATCGCCATCGAGATGATATTTTCAGGCCAATGACAAATTAGCTTTAAGTCGCTCACATAGTCCATAACCATGGCCTTGGCCTTAGCCTTGGCCTTAAGTTGTCTATGATGTCTAAAGTCCAAAGTGCACTTGATCTAGGCCATTCATTTAGTTAAGTTCAACGAGAGTTTCTTTATATTTATATATGTATTTCGAAGGGTTTGCCAGCAGCGCAACTCGAAGAGGCAGCTTATTATTTATACCCTGTACCCTGTACCCTATACCATATCTTGTCTTTTGACTCCTGAGAACACTCTGCGCTACCACAATGTGCTTACTCTTAATCAAAACATGACGCAACGCAAATAGTATTAAACACATTCATCGAGTACAATAATAAGCCACACAAAACAGATTCGTATATGCACTCGACATGATATTCGGCTAGCAATGATGGCCAAGAAATCCACCCCTTTAGTATGCAGCTGGTAACATATGATGAGCATTAAAGAGTGGTTTGCCGGAAGGGAGCGGCGAAAAAGGCCATAATAAACCTTATCATCCCCAATTTTGTACATTTTGTAAAACGATGACTATTTGGTGGCCTCGTAGCTATTACCCAACTTTATATCTATACATATATTTTTGTAAAATGTATATTATATAAACATATACTATTTGCAGTGTGCACTGTCCAATAGTCAGTCCACCCAGCCTCGACCTCAACCCACCTCTCCATGCAAAATATAGTACATATGTACCACTAAGCAGACAATACATCGAGACAATTAGACAGTCCAGTCTGCTTTGTGATAATACGCACGCACAAAAAATAGAACAACACAAACACGCCTTTTGATACGAAACTGTGCATTTCACCAGACGGGCTTCGAGTGCATTAATTATCTTAATGTAATTCGGGTAGGAACTTTGAGTTTAAGTTGAGTTCGAACAAGTAGGGGACTTGTCAGGTCCAAAGCTTTTGTGAGTGTTCAATTTGTAAGTTCGTTCCGTTGAGTGCAATGCCTTATGCCTCGGCTTATATTACTTCTTAATATAACACTGTGTTTTTCATTTCAAGAAACACAAAATGTGTAAGCATAAATGATGTATTTTCATTATTATTATTAGATTAAGAAATATTTATATATTTCTATGTATTTATATGATAAAATAAAACAATTTTTTACATAAAAAATCTATAAGTGGCTTTGTAGCATTCCTTTAGTGGCACGCATGTGACGAAAAAGGCTACAACTCGGTCAAATCCTTACCGATTTTCAAATGACATTGTGCGACTCTATGGAGCTGTATTCAAGGATTATAGGATCTTCTGGGAATCCAAACACTTGGAAAATTTGGCATTGAAAGCGAACGGAAATGGGTTGAAACACACAAAGTGCTCGTTTTCTTAGAAACGACAAAAACGATTTGATTGTGCTTTGGCCAGCTGATTGCCCAGCTCAACACAAAAAGTTTGACACAGGGTTCGTACTGATATGGCCAAGATACGAGCAATTTATCTGTTTGAAAGAGACCTGTTATTTCAGCTGTCTGAAGGAGTCTCGTCCTTATTGTGCTTTTGTTCGAATAGGACGGCCAAGGACCTCTGGTCCTAAGAACATCCGGATGGCTAAGTCACACCCCTTGCACAATTTGTTGCCCAGTTTTTTGGTTGTTGTCGAATTCTGGAAATCTTTGAATGCCAATCGACAGTCCTTTTTAAAACAAGCCTAAAAGAATGTGTTCTTTCAAAATCAGTTGGGATATTTGACAATTAAAAGACGATTAGTTAAGCGTTTTTTTTATTTTATAAACTAAATCTGTTGCTTTTTGCAGCAAAAAGTATGTAAACATAAATTAGGTATCTTCAAAAAAATCTATGAACTAAGCATTAAGAACTTATATATTATACTTATATTTCTATGTATGTAATCATTGGAATAAAAAGAAACGATTGAATATTTTATAAACAAAAAATAGATATTTTCATCTGTTGGCTTTCGAATACCTTTTACTTTTCTCAACGAGTACAATATATATTGTATCTGGAGAATTACTTCAAAATTGTATTCGCTAGAAGGCATTGTGTAGCTAATGATGAGGAAATTAAGACACAGTCTGTACTCTCTCAAAAAACAAATGGGTAGCATGCAGACAGATACAAAGAGGTACTTCTTGCTCTGAATCAGCTGAAACCCTGAAACTCAAATTCTATATGTATATATGTAAGTATGTAGAAGTGAAAAGTTTAAGTGTTTGAAAATCCGCCTTTGTTGGTGGATGGAGCCGCCAGAAATTTGAGATTGATTGTCTCAAGCTGTGAAACCTTGGCAACGGTTAGCCAACCCTGTGGCATCATGTGGTGTAAAATCGATTCGAGGCGATCAACCGGCAAATAGGCGATTGGCTCATCGGACTCATTCAGTACATCATTTTCGGGAACGCCCGGAATGGGTAGCAGCACTGGCACACAGTCCTTCTTGTGGATCATGCCCAATGCCCGAGTCACGCTGAGCAGTTCGTAGGTGATCCCCAGGCGGAACACATTGAGCTGTTCGCTGTTCTCGTTGATCGCCTGCATGATGTAGTGCACCATATAGGCTGTATGATTGTGGAAATTTGGCAACAGAAGCAGCTCCTGCAACGATTTACATTCGGACAACTGACGACTCAACTCCGCATCTACGTTGACATTGATAAGTTCGACACGCTTCACAGTGCCAGCGGCGGCAATGCCATCCATGATCTCTTTTATATGAAATGAGCGATTGCTGTTGTGGTTCTCCAGACGCAAGTGGCGCAAACGCTTCAGACTGGGCAGAACTTGTTGCCCGAACGCTGCCACCTTCATACCGCGACAGGAGCCCAGTACAAGCGTCTCCAGCTGCTGCAATCCCTCCAGCTGCAACAGCTCCAGCTTAGCCATGTTGCTAATGCCACGCAAGCTCAGCTCTCGCAAGCAGCTCAATTTCTGCAGCGGCGGCAATGAGATGATGCTGGCTTTCGGCTCCAGCATGCGAATTCGCAGCACACACAAATCCAACATCGTTTCGATGTTGGCCAGATTCAGAGCACGACTGACGCACGTTGTGCGCAGCTCCAGCAGTTGTGGCATGCACTTCACAATTGTCTCGACAAACTTCGCCTCGCTGGCATCGGTGCGTAGAATGCGCAACGATTTCAATAGTCGCAAATCACCGTCAAAGCGCATCTTTGGATTGTCGAATCTCACGCCCATCATATCGAGCTCGACGGTGCGATAGATCGTCATGTCACGCAGCAGAAGCATCCAGTTGCTGATGTGCGTATCGCGCAACTTCACCGTACGCCACACGCTCCTATCGCGGCCTATCATAGCCCAGGTTTTGCACACACTTGACAAGCGCACGCGTTCCTACAAACGCATATTATCTCGATTAGTTGAAAGGATTCCTCAGTTAGCTCAATTTCGGTTTGTCAAATGTGAGAGAAACTTACGTGCAGGTCAAGCGTCTTCATAACGGCCGTCATCAGCTGGCAGCCCATGCTGCTACTAGAAATGAAATCAACGACTTGTTTTAGCTTATCCCTAGCTGCGGCGGCGTTGCGCCTAGCTAGAGATCTTAGATTGATATCCACGTTCTGATTGCCTGTAAAGCTGTAAATAAACAAAAGATTCCAAGAGATTTTATTTTATGTAGTTGCATTTCACGAGGGGCATTCTTGTAGTTATGGTAAACAATGATGAATAACAGTATTAAAATTCACATAGACTCACAGTGGTATTTGGGGACGCGTCCGCGGTGGCGAGACAGCAACGGCGACAGCCTTGCGACCGTTAATAACAACCACCTCCATTGGCTTGGGTGTTATCTTTCTACCACAACGAAGTGCAGGAGAATCATCTCTCAGCTTAGCATGCGGCAGATTGTTGTGCTGTGCAATATTTTCGACGATGACCCAATTGCCGGCGGCGTTCACATTCTCATCGATCATTTCCTTATCCAGCTTATTGTTTCCATCATTACCATTGGCATTGGTATGTTCAGGTCCACGTGGCTGCTGTTGTCGGGCTATATCTGCTGGCGGCGAAAGGGAAGCCTTGCTGCCAGGCTTAACACAGCGCTATTTAACCAAGGTTGGATAAAAGGGAAACAGATTAGCGTTAAATTCAAGGAGATCCGATCCGGGGAGATGCCATCACTCACCTTGCAAATGTAGCTCTCAACAGCGCTCAGCCCGACACGATAGGCTTGATTGCGGCCATTGATTGCCTGCAAGCATTTCGCACAAGTTATTATCGTCTTAACGGCTGACTGCGGCTGGAGCGGCAGCTTCGGCTGCACCACCGTCGTCGGCTCTGGTGCTGTCTTTGCTGATTTGTTCGTCTGGTTGCTGCTGGGACAGATGCAGAGAGTCAGTTGCCGTTAGTTAGCAATGGAGCAATGGAAGTCATCAATTTAATCAAAGACTGCTTACCCACGTCTGCGTGCGCTGTTGCCGGCGCTGGAGCCGATGCCGCCACTGCTGTTACCATTGCTCGCAGCCAGGACGCGTGCATTTCCCTTAACCGCCGTCGTTGGGGTCCAACCCTCGGGCGGCGGGCTAGCGCCCTTGGGCACCTTAGGCTTAGGCACACGTTTCCCGAAGACGGGTGTTAGCGTTGATGTTGCTTGTTTGCCAAGATCGATACTGTTAGTCACCTGCTGCTGTTGTTGTTGTGGCTTCTGCTGCTCTTGTTGCTTCTGCTGCTGCCCTTGTGGTTTTTGCTGTTGCCCTTGCCCTTGCTGTTTCTGCTGCTTTGCGGCGGCCAACAATCTGCGACATTCCTTAGCAGACTGACCCTGGCGGACCGTTTCATAATGCTCGCCAGCATTCTGAAGTTGGGGCTTAAAGCAAAAATGATCAATTGACAAACCGGGCACAAGCAGTGGGACAATGTCATCTCTCGAGCGCAGCTTTTTGCCCCCCGGCGATATGAATATAACATCGGCCTGCTGGCGTGCATTGTTCAAATTGCTGGGCAACACCAATTCACGCTTCCAGCCGTGTTCGAAGGGCAAGCGATAGAAGGGATCTGTGGCCAGCAGTTTGTTCGCAGCAACCGAGCGCCGGCGTTTGGGCGTCTTTGCATTACTGCTAGTGGGGTCAAATTGGTACATCGATTTGGAGCGCATTTGCAGCATGCAGGGTGGGTGATCGTTGTCGTCGGTTGTTTTTTTGAGTCGCTTTGTCGTTTCGCTGGCCTCATCGCTGGATGATCCACTATAGGACATAAAGCGCATGCGAGAGCGCTTGCTCAGCAGGAGGTTGCCTCCTGCTCCTTCGCTTGCATCGGGTTTGCCGGTTTGCAAGTGGTTTAACAGCATCGCCTCCTTCTGCAGAAAAAATAAGAGGTTTAGAAGGGAAATTAAATAAGTAGTTAGCTTATGTCGGCTGTCAGCCCGATGGGCTGACACACTTAGACCATATTTGGCCCGTTGTGATGAATTAAATAAGTAAGTGAATGGAATATGCGGCCAGCTATGCTAGCTATATCACGACTATGCCTAAAATTTCACCTGCTTGTCAAAATCGGTTTGTGGCTCTGATTCTGTTCTTGGCTCTGCTAATGGTTGCGGAGAAGATGTTGCTCTTGGAATCGAGGTTAAACCGCTGCCGTTATTGCTGATATCGTTGATGTTGTTGATATCGCAGTTGGTATTGGTTGTCTGCGTAGCACTCATTAGACTTGTCACAGTCAAATTTGTGGTATGTGTGCTACTAGCTGTTGTTTGTTGTACCTCTTCCTTTTGCTCTCTAGGAAAAATTGTTAGCCCAGTGGCACAAATGTCCATTGGCTTAGTGGACAGTTGCCGCATCCAATATGCAATATAAATATACATACATTCCAGCATTCCGTAGACAGATATATAGATGGAAGAGAAAGACAAATGTCAACAAATTAAAGAAAATATTGACACGGCACATTATCAAACACAACAGCAGAAGAAGCTGCCCCTGTCGTTGTCACTGCGTGCGTACTTACCTGTTCTATGTCTGAGTAGCTCTCCAGGATATGGGTGGACGTGAAATAAGGAATATTGTCGCTCCAGCCTAATAGAGCATCATCTCTCTTTCGGATCCTTTTGCAACTGTCATTTGAGCCTGAAGAATCGACCCAATCGCTGCTTGAGCTTGTATCCTCAGAAGTATTCCGTGAGCGCGATTTTGAGCGGCTGGATCTTTTTTTAGATATGTCTGTCGATGTCGAATTCATCTTCCGCCTGCCAACGCCTGCCAAAAGCATTAACACATTCAATAAGGGTACAATTCAGCCCAATAAAAAATTCCAACATGTCGGCCCAACACAGAACTCCAACATGACAATTTTGTTTGCTTTTAAAGACTTGAGAGCGGCAAGTTTTGCTGCAAATGGCCTAGCATACGTCGTATCTCAGAGAGTGACAGAGATATAGAGAGAGTTTCAGCACAAGTTTCGTATAATTCACGGCTTCCTCAAATATGAAAACGATTACCCGTTTCCTTTTTGCTCTACACACCATCATTTTTAAATCGTGTGACTAGCAGACTAATGTTACTTTTTTAACTTAAAAGCTATGTTAACTTTAACAGCCCTGTTAATTGACTAACCGACAATAAATCGAAAATATAATCGTCCAACAAGTATCACACATGTGTACACACTTGCATGTGGTATTTATGTATGTACATATGTACATTTGAAAAATAACATTCTGTAAATAAAGAGCTTGATAATTTCGAGTCTCTTTCAACCGACCAACTTCTATGACATTATATGGCAGGCAAGGCTAATTTCATATTTTATTAACTCATCACTAAAACGGCACAAATGTCCTTAAGAGCATTCGTTTAACAAGTAGTGTATAGAAATTAACACACACACGAGCGTTGAGCGCAAGAAGCAAAAACAAAACCAATACGTGCTCAACTGGTATATGGACATAGGCAAGTGTAAACTAAATGGTGTATATGCATGTATGCAAGACTGCGTATGCGAAATTGGATGTGTGTGTGAGCCGGTGCCGGCGAACCAAAATGCACAAGCTTCGCAGAGAGAACAACTAAACCTACGGCTTAACAAATGTGCACAGCCGGCGACAGACTCTTTTTATCGAACATTTGCCTTTATTCCGTTGGGACCACTTGTGCAACTTTTGTCAGCGGCACTTGGCGAATTTGCGCGTGGTTATTGTATGTATGTCTATTTATACATTTAAAAAAACATATATAAATATGTATGCACCTGAGTGTGTGCGTGACGGACGCTTGCGTCCTTGCCACTTTCAAATAGGCGAACAACGTATTTTGAAAGAATGCAGCTGAGTTTTAAACTATTATTGCCACATACACTCACCTGCTTTTAGACACAAGATTTAAGAAACATTAATAACGTACACTTAAATGACACGTCGGTTGTGTAGCGACTTGCAACAAATTGTGCAAAATAGCAAACGATTAACAAATACTATATATCGATTCTTACTCACAATGGTCATGTTATCGCTTGCTAATCGCCAACTCGCTGTTACGTAGCCGTGTCAAACACTGGATGCTATGGAACTTCATCGACCGCCTTCAATTTTGGTTTTTAACATTTTATTTAAAAGTTGCTGCTGGACAATAAAGTGTTTAGGCAAATATGTATTTTCTTGTTTTCTATATTACAAATTGGAAGTATCTTGTTCTTATACTCTGATGCTGAAGGTATCCTAGGCTTCCGCCCCTACAAATTTTCAATGGGAATATTTTCCAATATTTCGGAAAGTGTGAATCGATAAGACCACATATATTCCAACATTTTGAAGACAGTCGCCAAACGTGGAAGGTAACTAGCCACCTTCAAGGATCGACATATACATTTTCAGACCACTCAAAGGTACTTGGGCCTTAGAAATCTGAAAAGCGCATATCTTCCACAATTTATAAGAGTCACCAAATTTTGAAAGTATATTACTAATAACTCCCCTAAGAGATCTATAAGAAATTGTACGACAACGCCCACTGCGCCTCCCAAAACCAATACACCTGTTTATGTAAATCAATAAAACCATACATCTCACACGGTTTGAAAGCTAGAGCTACCAAATTTGAAAGGTATACTGCTAGGAACACCCTACAAACATTTTTGGACCACGCCAACTCCTGCCCCCACGATAAACGATAAAAGCGTATATCTCCCGCAGTTTAAGAGCTATAGTTATGGAAGGTAGATGACTAAGATTGTCCACTAAAATTGTTTTTCGGGCACGACCACTCCCGCCCCCAAATTATCTTAAGCCCATGTCTCCCGTAATTTAGGAGGTACAGTTACCAAACTTGGAAGTTAGATTACTATTAAAGTAGATTACTAGAAACTTTCTTCAAAGATTGTTATTTCTTGGGTGGGTACCCTGTTCTGTGGCAGCAGTTATCAAATAGTATGACTTATTGGTATCAGAGTATTTCGCAGTCGGTTACTCCCGAAAGCATCTTTCTCTCTTGTTATAGTTACACAGATAGACTGACATGGCTATATCGACTTGGCTGTTGATGGAATCGGAGATGCTCGTATCGGTATTTTGAACATGTTTTGACAACATTATGATTTTTACTAAAATAATAATAATGATAATAATTATACTCTCAAATAATGTTAAATTGCCTTTTAACCTGGACTTTTTGATGATGGCTTGACCGTTAGAGTAATCATTAACATAAGGCTGGAGGCGTCAGAGAGTTGAATTAAACTTCCTCGTTGCAGAAACAGTAATGACTGAACAGTTAAAAAAAAAACAGGTTTTTTGTAGAAATCTTGAACATCTGCATAATGCTGCGTCAAACCATTCTCGATATCGTTTTGGCATTTAACGCACCCACTGCCCGCAATTGAGTCCCTATCACGGTTCGCATCAATGATCCTTATCGGATTTGGCCGACCACGTGGTATAATTGAAATTTATCAAATAATTATGGAGCTTGCTGACACCAGTCACTCTCGAGTGGGTGTGAAACACACACACACACACACACATTACATCAGCATTTATTTATTTGCTCACTTGTGTGGTAGTGGGCGTGGCTAAAAAAAAGGGGTGTGGCAACTGTTATCGATTTTTCGTAGCAGCTGCAAGAGTCGGGCTCAGCTACAGCTTATTGTGGCTGGGTCACGTGTGTGGGGACGTGTGGCTGCTGTTTGTTGAATTTTGTGTCTTATCGGTAGAGGACACACGTGCTACACACCCTTGCAACTCAACAGCACACAACTGCAGCCGAATGATAACAAAATTAGCCACCAAACTGCTGCTAATTTGATTTTGATTTTGCTGCTGACTTTTGACTGTTGACTCCTTTTTGCGACTTTGATTTGATTGCCGCAAATCCGCTTAGCGGATGCCATTTATTTGTTGTTGTTGTTCCTATTGCTATTGCTGTGGCACGCGACGGGGCGTCTGTGAGCGAGATTAAGCACGGGTTCTCAGGCCCACCAAGTGGCCAAGTGACTGGCCTAATCCCACACTGATGACCATGTTGAATAGATTGCAATTGATTTCGGATTATGCAACGCGCAGTTGTCTAAACTACTTATGCATAATATGTATATATGTACATAGCTGCCCATGAATATGAAATGAGATTTTCAAACAGATAATTTTGCGTTGGGAGTCAACACCTACACATCGCCTTGCTTTTATACCCTAGATTCATTAAAAACGTGTAAAAGGGATATAATAGCTTTGGGGAAATTTATGTTACAGGCAGAAGGAAGCATCTCCGATCTTATAAAGTATATGTATTATTGATCAAGATCAACAGCCGAGTCGATATAGCCATGTCCGTCTCCCCGTCTGCCCGTCTGTCCGTCTGTATGAACAAGCGGATCTCAGAGACTATAATAGATGGTAACTTTAAATTTGAAATATAAGTTCTCGTATAGGTCGTGCAGATCAAGCTTATTGCATTTTATCACTAATATCGATATGTTCCCATTGCAATAAAAACAACTAATTTAAAATGCGGCGGGAAGCCTTTCAGTAGTCAAATAATGGTCTAAGTGATGGCAATCAATCAACTGAAATTACACCCAAACAGAGTGGCAGATGAAGGTCATCAAAAAAAAAAAGCAAACATCGCAGATTGCATAGCTCATGGGATTCTTGGGCAATGTCTTAAGCAAGTTGGTAGAGACAATTAAGATTATAGCAACAACTATCTAAATAAGCAGCTCTTGAGGAGAGCAGTCCGGGCGATAAAATATATGGAAATGCAGATGTAGAGTTCGACTTGTATTACAAAATCTTCCATCATCATTTCATTTAGCCAATCCACCTCAATGCAGTCGAGTTCGAATTAAGAAATTGCGGCCAAACTCGTATTGAATTTGAAAATCAAATTTATTGTTTGAAGTCAAATGTATTTAATTGAGAACTCTCGCTGCTGACAGTGGATGCTGTTTTTATTATTACCTGTACCCATTTCAAATTGAGTGAAACTGATTGTAACAGACGAAGGAGGATTATAAAACGCATACCTTTTGTTTTCAATTAGCATTAACTATCTCAGGTGTAAGCTAGTTGTCTCTTTTTGATTCTGACTACTTCCAATCATGGCATACAATTGCACTGACTTATTATTCAAGTTGTGAGTTTGTTCCTGATATTTATGTATGTGTGAGGTAATATAATGCAATAAAATACGTGTGAAGGCGATAACTTGCGAATAATTGTATAATTTTATACAATTTAAATACCATGTACACAAAAGAAAAAACAATATATTCGATTGTAAGTTTGGCAACATTGTTTCTTAAAGAAAATCACAAGTCCCAAGTCTGCGATGTCTTAGCAGATTAAAAGTCCAAATTGAGCTGGAAAGTGAAATATTAACATGTTGCACAACACTTAGAAAAGCATAATCAATAATCAGTAGATTGACTTGCTTTGCAAAACGAAAGATTTAAACATATTCATTATAATATAAGCTTAACTGGCCTATCAAGTAACGAGCCGAGGACATCACGACAAGGCTGAGGATAGAAGATATGTGCGTAATGAAGCAATTTATAACTATATATATTCACATCAGAACTTAGCAACATATGCTATCAAATCATAAAGACAATTGAGAGGCGCGGAGGATTCAAGAAAACTTCATCAGCAAACAATAATCGTATGATGTTATTAGCTAATCAGTAATGAAGAGTGATTCCAAGCAAAATTGGGAATGTTAGCGATGCGCTCAGTGAGTGCAAATTAGCATAGGGAAAATCTTCATTAATATATCGATGAGAAAGGAAGATGACATATTGTATGCACAGGACAATACCAGAATTTGTCCATTTACTGGCGTCTAACTAGACATGGAGTATTGTCTTTGTTAGTTGCGTTTAGACGGAAAAGAATTGAATTGAATTGAATTGAATAAACCGAACGATAATTAACTGCAACTGCTGAAGCATTATTATTTGATGGTATACACATAAATATGTATATGCATTTCGTTTTTATAGAAAATATAGTAATAAGAGCTGGCGCGAATCGCCTACTGTTCGTTTACTGTCCAGATGTGTACATGTATTAATTGGAATTCGATTCACAGTCTCACCTTTCTGCTGAATGATTTATCCGATATATATCCAAGATACCATAGATAGACAACTCTATCTGTACGTGAATGCTGGATAAGATGATATGAAGTAGGTAGGAAATATCGACTCCCAAACCGACAAGTGCACCAACGTCTGTTCATCTCGATGAAGAGTTTCGATTTAAAAACTACGTCACTTCACAGTCTTATCTCAATGTTGAGCAAATAAAAAGTACAATTGCCAAACGTAGAAAGGACTTGCCGCCTTGTGGCCAGGCTTCAATTTCGAGCTGTTGTGCGAGAGATAACTGTAGTTTGGGTTGGGGGTTGCTCATTGGCACCGCCCATTTCTGCGTCTGCGTCTGCGTCAGAACGTTGTCCCATTGGCCCTCTCACAATCTCTCTCTCTCTCTCTCTCTCTCTCTCTCTCTCATCCGGGGGTTGAAGCTGGACAAGAAGAAGGTTAGGGAAAAGGGGGCAAGGGTTGTGTAGGTGACATCTAAACGCCAAGGCGTGAAAATATTCGAGTACACGCAAATCGCTGCTTGCGATTGGAAAAACTCGAACCGTTGAAATTTTCACGCCCGACGCGTAACTTTTTTTCAGCACCCTAATCCGGTGACTAGGTGAAGCGGAGTCGTTGTGGAAACAGTTCGATAAGATCTGTAATTAGCAAAAGTGGGGTATACACAAATTAATTATTCAGCTAGAAAAGTAATTTACAAAAGTTGAACAAAAGTTCCCAACAACAAGGAAATGCTCGACGCAGTTGGCTGTGTATTTCTTAACTCATCATTTTCATTTCATTTTTTTATAAGTTAGGATTTGTCAGAATCAGAGAAGATTGAGAAAGCATTTTTCTATGTAAATCTTGGTGTCAAAATTTTGTATAAAAGTTAATAAAAGTCGACTTGAATCGCATTCCACTAGAACCTCAACATTGACGAGATGAGCTTTATGCATCTGAACTCGCATCCCGTGGATGGATGCCAGCGGGTCAGTTACCGTCAGACCTCAGCCATCGGGCTATTGAACAAAGATGAAATCGACGGCAGGGACGACAGCGCCACTGGCGATGGTGTCATCATTTGCAAGAAGCTAGTCCTCGGCTGCAAGCCAGAGGAGAACGACGACTACCGTCCGTTCATCTTTGAGCCGACGTGGTGTGTGTATATCAAGGCGCTGGACAATGTCGACATGGGTGGCTATGTAAAACGGGTGACGTTCCGGATGTCGCCTCGTCTGCCTTTGCGCCTGCATGTGGCCGATGCCTCACCCTTCGAGATAACCGAGGTGCTGAGCACCGATTTCCCGATAGAGCTGCAGGTGGAATATCTGGATGCCAGTATGTCACCCACCACATACATGTACAAGCCGAACGATGTTTTCGATGGCAAATATAATGTGGACGATCGCATGAATTTCCTAGGGCACGAACGCACCGACAAAATGTTCTTCGTGAATCCATCGACCGACACGCAGCTAACGCTTACAACTTCCGCACCGCAGCCCCTGCTCCAGCCACCGTCCCTAACCCCTACACAGGCCAGGACTATCGCGGAGAAGCGGGCCAAAAAGCAAAAGCCATCCAGGCCCAGCAAACAGAGCGCCAACTCTCAAATCACACGAACAGCTCCCCGGCCCATATTCAATTTGTGTCTGCCATAGCTACACATATTCCCAAGCCCAAGCCCAAGCGCACTCCCATTCCCATTCTGACTCCCAATCGCCCAGGCTTGGGTAAGGCTAAGGGTTGCTCGCTAGCGCCGCCCATTCATTGCCAACTGTTAACACAGGGTGGGTTTTTGCAAGGCAGTGGCCAACTTTCTGCTGCTGCTCATCATTTGGCAGTGGCACCTTGTGGAGTGCGGACGCGTTGCAAGGAATGGCCTGGCTACCAAGCAGCTGCAATGGTGCGGATAATGCTGATGACCGCAGCTCAGCCAGTCACTCAAGCTCCTCATCCTCAGGCAATGGCGGCAGGCGTGAGGAGAACAACAACAATAACAGCAACAACACTAACAATGTTGGAGCCCGACAACCTCCGGCGTTATTGCGTCATGCAACACCATATGTGCAACCCAAGACGGAGTCCATCTCGGATGGCGACGGTGATCTATCCGATTTCTCGACACTGAACGACACCGAAGAGGATGAGGACGAGTTGCGCGACTACATTGTCCTAAATGGCAGCCAGGCAGATGGTAAGCATTAACAATCCTGATAGCAGATCACAATTCCAACATAACGAATCAATCTAAACGCTTTTATATGGATGGTTTTCTGTAAATTCAGCTCTTTTTGATATTTGTTAGAGTTGTGGAATTGAATTTTACTTTTACTTACCTCATACTATATATTTCTTGACCATATCATATGGCGGTAATTGGAACCATCGGAACAGCCATAACAAAGTTGAACCGATTTTCAAAAACAATGAATGGACTTAGAATCGATATAATCATTATAACTAACAGCTCCTTCACTAAATCCTTTCGTTATTTAGCTAATCGATCGCTATCCAATTCGCCGCGCAGTGGTTGCGGTCACAATCTCTTTGCCAACGGCCAACTGGGTCCACCGAGCAATGGGAATGGCAATGCCACTGGTAATGGGATTGGCAATGGCAATGGGAGCAGCAGCAGCTCAAACGCTGGCAGTGGCACTGGCCTGGGTGGGCTTGGAAGCGGCAGTGCGTCGATTGGCAACAGTGTCGGTGGAGGGGGGACGGGTGGGGTGCGCAAGGTGTTCACAAATACGCGTGAACGTTGGCGCCAGCAGAATGTTTCCGGCGCCTTTGCCGAGCTGCGCAAGCTGGTGCCAACACATCCTCCGGACAAGAAGCTGTCGAAGAACGAGATCCTGCGCTCGGCCATCAAGTACATTAAGCTGCTCACGGGCATACTGGAGTGGCAGCAGCTGGAGCGGCACGCGTCCACGCCCGACGAGCCCAACAATAATGACAATCGCGTGGCCAATGGCCATGTGGGCGACGCACTGCGTCACATCAAATGCGAACGCTTGGACAGAGTCGACAGCAGCCAGCAGCAGCATCAACAGCGGGGCAATGATTTACTCATGATTGCTCCAGGTGCCCATATCAAGACGGAGCAGTCGCAGCTGCCCAGCTACGAAGAGACGACACCCAGCAGCATAAAGGCCACAACGGTTGCCACTCCAGCAGTATTGCTACCCATTCCCATTCCTGCCATTGCACCTGGATCTGTGCCACCGCCATTGCCCGCTATTGTGACCGTACCGGGAGTCCCGGTAGCTCTAAAGCCAGCTACGGCTAGCAGGATAACCGCCAGGCGACGCCACAGGACAACAGCAGAGGCCCCCACATCCGCTGATCTCACCCACAATCCAAGCCACAAGCGACGCAAGCCATGAGCCACACCACAACAACAATATCAGCAATAACAACAACATCAGCTGGGCATAGGAACATAGGAAATGATGTGTAAATTCGTTAAATTCATAAATGTATATATATATTTTAGTTGTAAATTCACTTCAACTTTACGATGTGAGCTGTGGCTGCAAAAATCCCAAATAAATAGTTTGTGAATCATTGAAGAATCTGGTGCAATTTATCTAATTTAATTCATTTTAATTTTAGGCTGAAATCTAGCTTTATTTGGTCATATCCAAACTTTGCGTTCTCGAAAGGATTTTCAATCTTTTTCTCAATTGCATTCACCATGGATCAAGTTTAAGTAGCCCGCCATAGCTCCACTGCTGAACTATCCTCTCAACCAGCCACAGGAGTAATCCAAAGTCCCTCGGCAAACACAGACAAGGAAAAAACAACGTATATTTTTTGCTCTTTAATTTATTAAAATATGTTTTACCGTTTGTTTTATATACATATATATTTAACCATCTTTTGTGCAATTCTGTATTGAATTCACGAAAAGGAGTATTTGAACTTTATAAGAATGTCACCAGATGCAACCCTTCAATGCCATCGAAATGTTTTCAGTTTTCAAGCTGATGGAAGAAGAGCTTTTCCAGATTGTATCTCAAAATACGCTGAATTGTCTTTTTGGTTCATCGTCTGCAAACTTCGGGATGAGCTTCTGTTTTTGTTGTATAGCACTTTAAAGTGGATTTTGGAAATGGTAACCTGAATTGGGAATGGAAATCGATGTTAAGGTTTGATGGAAAGCTTAGAAAGTTACTCACACCATAATTTTATAGGAGATTTGCTTGTTTTCAGCTGAGAGCAAAATAAAAACAGCAAGTTTCTTAATATTTTTGTTTTGTAATTTTTATTGTTTTTTATTTTTTAATTTATGTTATTTTTTGTGTGTTTTCATGTTGTCGTTTTGTGGTTGGGCTTTCATTTTGCATTTAGTTTTGATTGTTGTGTTTAAATGTAATTTTTCATTTTGGTAAGCGGAACGCTGAAATTGTTCTTCATATATGTTTTTATACTTTTTCATAATGTTCTTCTTTATTTTAAATTTATTTATTTATGTTTTTTTTTTTTTTTGCTTTGCTTTGTTTTGTTTTGTGTTTGGGGCAAGGGTTTATTATCTTTTGATTCTGTAAGATGTGTGTTTTGAGTATAATTACAAATTAAGGTGAGTGTTTTTTTTTTTGTTCTACGTTTTGTGTGTGTGTATTTTGTGAATAGATTTGGTTTTCTTTTTTCACACAATCTTTACTAAAATGCTTTCGATTTCTTAAAAGTTTTTTTCTTTTCTTTTTGTTGCTGAAAGTATAATAAATATGTATCTTGATTGATTACGACAATCGGAAAAAAAAACACACTTCAAATCTCTGTTTTCGAGTTTGCTCTTCATTTCCACTAAATTAAGAACATAAAGAGAAATGGAATTCAGGAATACATACATATACCAATACAATTAGTTAATTATTATGATTTTTATTGCCTAAGCGAAGAGAAAACATTTTTTCGAAATTATCCCGTCAGCTGGCAAAGCAAGCAGAGAACCAAAGAAACAAAAAAAAAAAAAAAAAAAGACGAGGCAAAATTGCTCTCTGAATTCGTCACACTACCAACTATATAGTAGGGACTGGCTCAGAGATTTTGTATGCTAGTCTTGGTTAGATGCAATCCTTTGATCTTGTGGCAGGAGACACACATACGTACATATGTAGTTGAAATGATGCAAGAGTGCAGGGCTTGCCAGCCAGCAGGCAGCCACAAGTTCTTGAGTTGAACGAATATATTTTTTAAAATAGGCTTTGAAATTTTTGTTTTGTTTTTTTTTTTTGTTTTTTTTTTTTTTTGTTTTATTTTAGTTGTGTGTCGTCATGTGATTAATTTAAAAATTATTTGTTATTTTCAATTGCAGCTAAACGTTTGATTAATTTTACAATTTATGCATAATAATCATCGATTGTTTCCATTGAGATTCCTTTGTTTTTTGTATTCTCATTGTTTGTGTTTAATTATTTTTGTCTTTTGTAAATGTAATATTATTTTAATAAATGGCGTCGCGCGCTAAAAGCATTTGTTATGAATTTTCTGTAATATTTATGTTCCATTTGTTCATAATATTTGTTTTCTTTCAAACAAGTTGTATTATATATTATTAATATGCTAACTTTGGACTGAATAACGGTACTAAATAGTTATATAAGGGCTTATGGGCTACTAGGATGCGATAGTTTTCGGTTTTTTTTCTTTTCTTTTCTTCTTTTTTTTTTTAAAGGAGGGGGATGAATTCTAAATAGTTTTACATTTGCGATTTGCGATTTGCGACGTGGTTTTCGGTATGGAGATCGATAGATTTCTATATTTGTATGAATGCCAATATATATGTATATGTATATATGTATGTACATATATGTATGTATGTATGTATGTTTGTATACACATATTTTTGGCATATGGAATTGTGTGATGAGCACGTCAAATCTTTTGTTTTTAACGTTTTGCACACATTGCTATAACGATTTAAGTTGTTGTTTTTGTTACTTTGATTTCAATTATTATTATTATTAACTACAACAACATAAACAATATAACATTTTCTTTTTATTGTTCTTGTTGTTGTCGTTTTCTATATATATATATATATATATTAATATTGTATATGTACTTTAAATGGGACAAAAAATTTTGATTTATTTCACTAAGATTTCTTTCCATTTTGTTTTTGTTGTTGTTGTTGTTTTGCTTATAATTTATTACGTTTGCAAATTGTTTTCATTTACTATAATGCAATTAGTTGTTGTTTCCTTATATTTTTTGTCATTTCCATTTGTTTTTTGTAACATTTGATTTACGTGTGTCTGTTATTTTGTGTATTTTATGTATGTTTGTATATATATACTATATAGATTTTGTTTAATAATACATATTAATTATTAATGCATAATTTAGGCATTTGCTTTGCTTTGTGTTTCCATTGTTTTTGGGGTTTTCTTTTTGGTTTTTTTTTAGTTTTTTTTTTTTAGTTTGTTTAATATTATACTAAATATTTGCCATGTGCCCAATAAACAAGCCTCCACACACATACATACATGGAAGTTATGCACACACACACACACACACGCACACACACCCTCATACACACCCTCATACATGCAGTCCATGAGTTGAGAGCATTAAAGCTCTTAGCATAGGGAAAACTTTCGAAGAAGCACAACTACATACATATGAACATGTCATGTGCATGTGTGTGTGTGTGTGTGTGCGAGCTGTTTTCAATACACACGTATGCATTTCACTTCATCTCTTGTATTCAGTATTTATTTATATTGCTGACTTTGGGCCGTTGTATTTTGATATCTTCTGTTTCGTTTTCTACAATTTGTATTTGGAGCGATTGGAGCGCATTCTTTGATTTGATTTGATTTGCTTTTTGGCTGGTGGCTGGCTCTGCATGTGTGTGTATGTATGTGTGTGAATTTGTAAATTGGATGCTGTTTAATTTACTTAAGCCTCGATTGAATAAGAGGCGAGCGAAAAAAATGTTAATAACAGTACGCTGTAAACAACATTTACATTAACGAAGCACAGCCGGTGCTGTGCTAACCCGATGCGTTGCCTGACGCTGACGCCACCGTCTCGGTCTCTGCTGCTGCGCCGTTGTCTTTGCCGGTTCCATTGCCGCTGCCGTTGCTACTGCCGCCGGCTTCTTCCCCAGCGGCGCTGGCCTCACCGTCACCATTGCCGCTTGCGCTGTTGTTCAAGGCGCTGTTCGACTGCGAGCCTATAAAGATTAGGTTAGAATGCGAGAAAGAGAGAAAATAGACAAAAATTGGTTTTTATGTGAATTTTTCGTTGATGTCGCTGTTGCTGCTGCTGTTCTTGCTGCTGCTGTTAACAGTTACAAATTTGCAGAGTAAAAACATTAAACGGGATACATGTACATATGTATGTATGTATTAAGATAGTGAAGGAAAGAGAGAGAGAGAGAGAGAGAGATAGAAGAGCGAACTAGCACATGTTCATGTTCACAGGCATGCAAAATGGGCATGGTCGGTCCACACACATACAGCGGTACAGTACAACAATAGTGGAAGAGATAACGGCGGCAAACGATAGGATGCCGCTGCTGCTACCCGCCCCCACCCACTCTTTGCACCCACAAGCAACAAGAACACAAAATGTACGAATGAAATAAAGCAAACAAAAAAAGGAAATTCGTTTAAATGTTTTTTCTTTGCTTGTTTTTTTTTTTTTATTTTTATTATTTTTTATTTTTGTTTTTCAGCATTTTTGTAATTTTGCTCAGTGTGTATATGTGTTTCATGTTCATCATTCATCATTTATCTTTATCTTTATCTTTACCATTATCTTTATCTTTATCAACAACTTATTATTTTTCTTTTCTTTTCTTTTGTCTATGTGTTATAGCATGATTATTTTAGCATTACATTTATAATATGTATACATATCTCTGTATGTTTTTAGTTGCTGTTGTTTTTGTTATTGTTGTTACTGGAGTTAAATTAATGTAAATTATTCTCTGCATTCTCCTGTTGCAGTTTAACCAATTTGCCTGACTGTGTTAGTGTGTGTGAGTGTTGTGTGTGTGTGTGCCTAAATTATTAGGAAAAAAGTTTATTTCACTTTGTATGTGTTATGTGTGTGTGTGTGTGTTCAGTTTTAATTGCTTTATATATACGTATGTAATTAGCATATTAATTAGTTTAAAGTCGTTTATAATCAACTAATTAAATAAATATGTATACGGGTTGTTTTTACATTTTTATGCATTTGTATTTGTTAATTGATGTTTGCAATATGTTTATAAAAAAAAGAAATCGCTCTAAGAAATTAGCTACTGATCTGGTTATCGCTATCGTTATCGCTATCGGTACGGTATCGGAATCGGTATCGATCTCGGAATCCGTTATCTCTTTTGCAGCAGATTGCTGTTTGACCTGCTTCTGTCTGTGATCATTATCAACGTACTTCTACTAATCCATTTTCTGAACTCATATGGTAACATTTGTCTGATAAACATACATTTGAGTATACATACATACATATATATGTATGTTGTTTCGTATTTTATGTATTTTTTATCTACATATTGCAACTAAACCAGCGATGAGAGTACAGTATATATATGTATATATATATATACATATATATATACATATGTGTATATCTTTATATGTGTGTACACAATAAGGATGCGTCAATGTGAATCTATATACTAGATGCATACATATACACACCTACATATATCTGTACATATATATAAGGCATCAAACAGCTAACGTTCTCTAATTTTTAAAAATGTTCACATCCAAATATATATATATATATATACATATATACGCATATATATATATATATATTATAAAAAAAAATTAAGTGTTTACATCAAAAATTTGTTATTAATATTGTTTTGTGTATTTGTATTTTTTTTGTTTTTTTTTTTGTAATTTTGCATTTTTTATTTTATGCTTTAAGTAATTCACTAATTTTAATATACATACAGTTAATTATTGAATATTTGTTTTAAATAGTTTTTAAGTGTGATTTTTTTTGTTGTATTTTTTCTTTTTTGTTTTACTCAATGCACTCTGCTTTCTTATTTATTACAAAATAATAATAATTATTTAATAAAAATAATTTATTTATTTAATATGTATGTTTGTTTTCGTATAATAGTATAATGCAATAAAAAAAAAAAGATCATTATCAATTAGGTTTAGATATATCGCACAGCGGATTATTCCTTGTTGCAGTTTTTCTTGTTCTTTAATTGTAAAATTAACATTATGCGATTGATTTCAATTTATGTTAAATATTTTATAAAATTTCTGTCACTTTTTTTTCTTTTATAGATTTATTTACTTTTTTATTTTTATTTTTTTGTTTCTGTTTGCTTATTTATTATTAAGGATCAACAAAATGAAACATAATTATTATATTCTGCAGTCAAATGATGCGAATAATTATTACTGTTGTTCTTTTTACTGCTGCTGTTGATTTTGTTGTTCTTCTTTTACTACACATTTTCCATTTTAACATACTTAAAAAGGATTACAAAAAAAAAAAAAAACAAACATGAAATGGAAATTGTATTCAAATTCAATATGCAATGACTCGGTTAAGTTTGTAAATGTATGTATGTATGTATGTATGTATATATATGTGTGTGTATGAATGTATATAGGGTTTAATATACATATATATATATACACACATACAGATATATATATATATATATATGTATATGAGGGGCGACAATTCGACGGGGCTGATTTTTGAACGCTGAAAGCTGCCGGTTTTTAAGTTTTGCCAGCTGTTGTTTATTATAGTTGCTTTATTTATTAATAGAAAAAAAATAATATAATAATAATAATAATAATGATAAAAACAAGCCATTATTGGCATTAGCAATGATATTGCTATTACAGTTATTATTTTAGTTATTTTATTTTACGATTAAAACTAATTTTAACTTTATCTATGTAAAAATTTTGCATTACATTTGTTGTTGTTGTTGTTGTTGTTGGTTTTTAGTTTATAATTTGCAGTTATTTTTTCTTCTTTTTCTGCATGTGTTTGTGTGTGTGTGTGTGTGTGTGTGTTTTATGCATGAGTTTTACATATTCATGTATTATTTGCTATTTTATATGCATTTTCCTTTTGTTTTTATTTTTTGTTTTGTTTTGTTTTGTTTTGCTTTTATTTGTATTTTTTTAATGATCTTTCACTGCAAATTGCTTTCAATTAATTAATTAACATTATATTGTGTATATATCAATGTATATAATTATATTTAGTGTTGCAGATTGTGTTTGATTTTTGTTTTTCTCTCTTCTGTAGCATATTTCCCATTGTTTAACTCTTTATTGTATACGCGTCTCAGTGTATGCTGCGTGTGTGTGTGTGTGTGTGGGTGTAGGTGTAGATTTGTTGATTTATACATATATATATATATATATATATATGTGTGTGTGTGTGTGATACATGTATATATATATTTATTTATATTTATTATTATTTATAAATATAGATATACATATATATTTGCGTATGTTACTATTGCCCCTATGAATCTGTAAATAAAACGAAAAGAAACAAAAAAAGAATACAAACAAATTAAATTGAGCTCAAAATGGTTTCAAATAATTAATAATTCAACTGCAAATAATGTATCGTCATAATAATGCTGGCTGGCTGGCAAATGATAAATACAACAAATGAAAAATATATATTTTATTGCTAGAGCACAGGGTATACATACAGGGTATACACACATGTATGTACATATGTACGCATGTACACGTGTATATGTATGTACCAGGATTAGGCACAGGGGCAGTCACCAGAATTGAGTGCTATATAGCAACTCTATAAAGTACAACTTGAAGGCTACAGGCTACAACAAGTTAACTCTCTATTTAGTTGATATATTTATGTACGTATGTATCTATGTATGTATGCATGTATGTATGTATGTATGTAGGTATGTATGTATGTATGTATGTATGCATGTATGTATGTAAGTCGTATCTATGTACATAAGTTTCTTGCGTCAAAAAGGCCCATGCACTAAATGATGAACAAATAAGAGTGCTCTAGTCGAGGGAGCTCGACTAGGGATGGGGGGGAGGGGGATACCCTGAACCCAAGTAATTATCGGAAATCGATGACATCGATTGTGTGTATGATAATTTATCGATCGATTTGATCTACATATTTCATTTAATTTGATCGGACACACTTCCTTCTCTTAATTACAATCAATTCAGTCAGGCATGGGTTGAAGGGGCACCAAAACAAGGGCAACTTCGGCTCGCCGAAGATTCAAAGCCCTTGCAGAGTTTGTGACACCAACTTCCATATCTGGTCTTCTATTATCTTCTATTATCAACTCATACAGACACATACATTACAGAGTATTCGTGCATTCTGCAGGGGTATTATCCCAAAAAGAAAACAAAGCGTGTGTTTGTAAAGAATAATCGATAACAGGACAACATAGATATTTAATATACAAAATAGAAAGGATGCACGGACGGCACTCGCTCGATGCGACCCAGCACAGTATGATACTCTAGCCGGGAAGACACAAAACCAAAGAGAGCGAGAGAGAGATAGAGAGAGGGAGAGAGGGAGGGATAAACTTTATTGGATCAACGAACAGACTGAATTAAACGGATTGTTGTTGTCGATAGCTAGGACAATCGGCCCATCTGATGAGGCGAGAGGAAAACAGTTGGATTGGATCTGGAACTGGAGCTGGAACTGGAACTGGGCATATGTCTTTCTTGCTCTTTTTCTGGTTGGGTGACTTGAGTTCTTATTATTTGTCTTGGTATTCTTGATATTCGTGGCGTTCTTTTGGTTGAATGAATCTTGCGCTGGGTCATCATCGGCGAGTCGGGTGGCGGCAAAGGGGGCACAACAACTAAATGCATGACAGAGATATAGACCCAGATGCAGATGCGATGGCGATGGAGATGGAGATGGTGACGAAGATGAAGATGGCGGACTGGTCGAACGCTTACTCACCTGTTATGTTGGCGCCACCAGCATTGCTAGTGGCAATCGTGCCGGCTGCATTTGCAGTTGTTGCAACTCCACCATTGCCTCCTCCGTTGCCGCCGCCGTTGCCATTGCCGCCGCCGCCGCCGCCGCCGTTGCCAGTTGATGCCGCAGCATTTGTAGACTGCTGCTGGGCATTTGTTGATGACGTTGCAGCGCCAACATTTGGATTGACGGCAGTTGCATTGCCAATGTTGCTGCTGCTATTGTTGCTATTGTTGCCAACGACTGAGCCACCTCCGCCGCCGCCGCCAGATGTGGCACCTCCTCCTCCTCCGCCGCCTGCTGCTGTCGATGCTGCTGATGCGGGCGCCTGTTGCTGCTGTGACTGGGCGGCACCGTCCGCGGAAGCGCCGCTGCCTGTGGAGGAGACGCTGGTGGAGCCACTAACCGCGCCAGTTGTTGTGCCGCCGGCCGCGGCGCGATTAGCTGCATTCTGCAGATGCTTTGGCAACAACTGTGGCACTAAGCTAGGCTGGATCGAGAGTTCTAAAAATGTTGTAAAGCAAAATGATTAATTTATTATTTTATTTCACTGCGGCGGCTGCGTCTCACTCACCATGCTCTGTGAAGTTGAATAGCGGCGGCATCTCGCGGCCGCTGGGCAAGGTGTGATTGCCCTCCATGCGCAGCTCATCGAAGAACGGATGTGCACAGGCCTTGAGCGGTGTGATGCGGGCGCTGGGCGTGTACTCGAGCAGCTGCGACACCAAGTTGATAGCTTCTGTCGGAGTGCGTATACGGAAAACCTGTGGAGCATCAAATCAAATCATACATTATATATATATATATATAGATATATATTTATATATATGTCAAACAAGAGTCATAACCAAACCAATTCGATCACAAAGCCTATCCTTGGGAGGAGGGGCAAGAATAGGGATAAGCAGCGAGGAGTCAACAATCATCAATCAACAATGATTCAAGACACACAAATTAATTAAATTACAAAGCAGATTTTCGGCTTTTACTTTCATTTACATTTCGATTAATAAGCGTTCAGCGCATTTTCCCTTTATTCATTTCTGCGATCATCAGATGAAAAGCAATCAAGTCTCACACACAACAAAGAACAAAGAACAAAGAACTGATCATGTTTCAAATCACACATCAAAATCGAGGCTGATTGGTTAGAAAAGATACACAAGTACAGCTATATACAACAGACAGATATTTTCCACAGATTGCCCACATTTGTGGATGAATCGCTTGAGTGTTTGTGTGACTTTCAAAGAAGTAACATTTAAGTGCAGCTCATGACCACAATCGGTCAGCACATATAAGCATATGTATTCATATATATATACTATATAATGCAGATTGATGATAAACATCACAACATGGAAAAATAAAGGCGGAGGCACCATAAGTGCGAAAACAACAATCAACAGTCAACGCAAGTCAATTCAAATCAACTCAAATCAAATCAAATCAATTAAATTCAAACTCAATGAAATCAATCAATCATTCAATCAATCAGCAATTTAAGCCCATGAACTGAAGCTGAAGCTATCTTACATATTATACAGCATGTGTTTTAATTTAAAAAAAATGTGCATTTTATGATTGCTCGTTGCTAAGAACTATTTTAACTCAACTATATACAAATATTGATTTATATATTTAAAATATTATGCAATGATTTGTGGAAGCCATTTTCGATTTTAATTTGCCTGTTGTTCAGTTTTTACAAATACAAATTTTCACTTTCGATTGGGTTTTCTTGTCTTGGCTTACTCTCAATTGCTGTTTCTGGCTTAGGGCCTTTGGAAATTGGGTGCGTTCGAGTAGTGACTGCAACGAATTGTTATGTACACTTAAATAACTTGACTTGAAACACACACAAACGCAAAAGAGTGACAGATACAGAGAGAGAGAGCGAGAGAGAGAGATATATAAAGAGGGAGGGAGAGATAGATAGATAGAGAGAGAGAGAGATAGGAAGAATGAATGGAACAAATGTTGTTGGGTTAGCAACACTTGCACAATGTGGAATATCTATTCGTGATTCATATTCATACAGAAAAACATTCATATATGATATATGGGATACATATACATATACATATATATATATATATAGATAGGGATATGCGTATACAATACATTGTCATTAAGCGGAATAACTTACTTTTTGCCATGGATGACTTTTAATTTGGGGAAATTTGAATTCCGTATAATTTGGATTCATTTCGCGTATTTGTTCTCTTGTCGGTGTGCCCAACACTTTGATCACCTCGACCAGCTGATCGACACCCGAATCGCCGGGGAATATGGGCTGTCCCAGCAGCAGTTCGGCCAGCACACAACCGGCGCTCCATACGTCTGCAAACCGAGAGAGAGAGAGAGAGAGAGAGAAAGAGTGAGTTTGAGATCGAGAGGGGGATAGGGGGATATGGGTGACAAGTGGCATACCAATCTTAGTTGTATAGTTGATGGCGCCGAATATTAGCTCGGGTGCACGATAATACCGCGAGCAGATATACGAGACATTCGGCTCGCCGTGCAACAGCTGCTTGGCGCTGCCAAAGTCACACAACTTGAGTACGGCCGTTTCCGGGTCGAGCAGCAGATTCTGCGGCTTGATATCACGATGGCAAATGCCTAGCGAATGGATGTAGGCCAAGCTTCTGAACAATTGATACATGTAGAGCTACAAATTGGAAATGTTATCAATTAGTATATATTTAGAAATGTCTTATGTAAAAGAAAAGAATTGTAAAAGAATTGATTTATTATTGATTTATTATTATTGTATCTATTGTGTCCCCCTTTCTGAGCCTATAGCTCTTCCTCCATCAGCCCCAGTTCCCCCGCACGAATGTGAGAATCTTTGTTGGGTTGAGGTCTTCTATATCTCCTAGGAGGTCTCTCTATGTCATTCCTAGGATGCTGCATCTTCTTCCAGTTAAGGCGACACATTCTCCTAGCATGTGCATCGAGGATTCCTCCTCTCTAGTTTAGTTGGGTGACTTCTTCGTCTACAGTGTCTCCTGTCAATAGAACAGTTAGCATCCTAAGGCTGTTCTTCTTTATCATGGTTATAACTTGCTTAAGATAGCATTGACTTACTGCTATTTTCTGTCTATTTTCCTAGTTGTCAGTTAAGTCTTATTGGCTCAAGTCTTGGCTTATTCCGATCTTCCTTACTCATCTACATTATCTATGTATGCTGCATATGCAAGCAATATTCTTGTCTATTTCCAGCCACCCTTATTTTTGTGTCTCGTTTATATAATAAATATATATTGGAAATATATTTCAAAAGTTCAGTTTTTGGCTTGAGTTACTCTTTATCTCTATATATGTATATAGTCATATATGTCAGCAAGCTGAAATTTGATCCCATCTCTAGGATGATCTCTGGTATCC